AACTTATTTGGATATTATTTTAACTACGGCCCGACGTTTTGGATGCTTTGTTTGCATGTATCCCCGTGTACAGACGGACTTTTAAATAAAACACTGTAACGCTTTAAAACGCGACAAATAATAGTTTAACTTATTTGGACTTATTTTAACTTTCATAACATGCATTGCATCGTTCGTTTTCTTTATTACGTTGGGTCGTAGTTAAACAAGTTTCATTATATATATATATAGCGTTTTAAACCGTTAAAGTATTTTTAAAACATGTATTAGCGTTTCAAACTTAACGCATTGCGTTGCGTTAGGCACATGGTTTAAATTCAGTTCTATATAACATCGCTAGTACAATCTCATAATAATACAAAATATTACGAAAGTAATAATTGACGTTCGTAAGAAAAATAACATTTATTAATTGTGTCTTTGCTTGTTGAGATAACGTGCTGTGTTTTCTTTGCAGGAAGTAATATTATTTTTGTGGATTTTATTTGGTTTATATACATGGTCAGTCAAGTCCCATATTTCCCATATTGGACGTTCGGAAGTTCACAGACCAAAACCAAACCACAATTAGACTTCACAGCTTTCCTGTGGACGATGTTAAAATAATTTCCAAATAAGCTTAACTATAATATATCGCGTTTTATAATGTTACAGTGTTTTACCTTAAAGTCTATAGTTGTTTCTTTAAATAATTGACAAATAAATTACTTGAATAACAGACAAAGTCACATGTGAAATTTTAATTAAAGCAAAATGTACCCACTAAATGAAGCCAGATTTATTTAACGCGTAAACTTTGCTTGCGTGTATTCTTGTATTCAATTCAGGACAATTAACTTTCAAAAGTTCTCAAACGTATGAAGTCGTGTCAAGTTGGAGACGCTTGAAAACGGAAACTTATACTATACGGAACTTTATGTACTTAATATGCTTTAAATTAGCTGTTAGTTGCGGTTGGAAAGCTTTATTGTGGCTTTCCACAGTGCATCTCAATATTACTTGTGTACAAATTGATTAGTACATGACGAATTAGTTAGGTCGCTGAGGTTTTGCTTTCGTTTAATTATAATTGCACTAGCTGTGCCAGCGACTTCGTCCACTGGGAATAGTCATTTTGGGCTTCAAAATTTGCTTTTGTTTTTTTCTCCTTTTTTTAATTTTCAGCTATGTCGTCGCTCCTATTTGTAGCTCAATGTTTTATGGCCTATAGCCTCCCCGAAACCTATCTTCGTCTATATTAAAAATACTTTTTCCAATTTATAGAAGTTCTTATACGGAAAATATGCAATCCAAAATACAACGTTGAAATTATTATTATTTTTATTTATTCCCATTTGAAAAGAATTATCTATATGTTTTTTGTTAAATATTATCTATTAATAGTTGGTGAGTAACTATACATTGTCGGCTATCGAGATGGCACCCTATGTGTTTGTGCCTTTGTTTTTTTCTTCAAATACATTTCCATGAGGTCTCCTGTCATAAAAAATTAAATATACAAGTATAGCTAAAGACTACCTCACACTATATAATGAATAAAACATGCTATTTAAATACATACATTAAAAATCTATAGTAAATTTCAACACAGACAGGACTCATCAGCGTTCCGTGCTGTGACTCTAACCATTTGAACTTATTGATACATGCACCTCTCTAAATTTATTTTAGATTTTTAGTCTAGATAGTGCCGTTAAATGTAAAAAAAATAATAAAGTTATATAATAACTCAAAATCAAAAACACACAGAGTGGTGTGAAATTTGTTGCTTTATAAGACCTCTCAACACGCGGTGTTAACAATTTTAAAGGTTGACTATTCAAAGAGTAAGTTATTGTTTATGTTTATAAGACATTATCACCGCGGCGGGGATTAAACAGTTTTGCTAATTAATTACTCGAAGGCTCATTATTAATTCCTAACTTCGGGGAGTCACTTACACAACTTAAGTAAGTCAGTGTAAGCTGTGAATTTCTAATATTTCGAGGAAAACGTGAGAGAATTATTAATAAGTAAAATTTTTGTTAATTTATTTTTTAATTTTCTTATTTTACAGAGAAGACAAAGCATATATACATAACAGACATACATCAGACACGCACGGGGATCGCTTGATAGAAGGAAATAAAATCCTATAGAATCTTGACAAGATTCGTTATCGCCGTATGGATTTGTAAATACGGGAAACCACAGTCGGAAACAGAACCGCTATCGCTACGCGACTCTTTCATCTGTGGATGGTGGTTTGTGATTCGGCCGAACTTTTCGATTCCTACCTCCCATTTTATATGCAGATTTCCAGACGGGGTCCAACATGGTTCAGAAAAATTATAAATTGATTAGAATTGAATTGAATTGAATCCACGATCATTGATTATTACTCACACATTTCTATCATTAGGCCGTCGGCCCTTCGAAAGATCATTGTGGTCAAAACAGGTTATTTATTGTAATAAGCATAAAGGGTGAATTTGAATCACGGAAAGAAAGTGTGGATTGTGTGGTTAGGTTTAATTACCTTATTTACGTAAACTGCTCGATAAACACTCTACCGATGGGATTTTAGGACAATTATTTAAATTTAGCGTTGCTATGACTACCTGTCAATAAGAGGAAAACGCATGAATTATTCATTAATCAGCTGTGATAGTAAATATTTCACTCGTCCAACACTAAATATTCAAACACTATTATCAACACAATGGACTTGCGTCTATAATTGTTTCCTGCATAGAGATAAAGCAATTTCGTGGACAGAATCACCTAATTTCTGTTATATCATTTTTTATAAATATAATTAAACGTTGAATTTTATTTAACTATAAAATATGTACATGATTCTGTTTATTGTTATGGAAAACTTAGTATCGCGTCAAGCACGAGAGTTTTTGGGTTCAAATCCAGGGAAACAAGAATCTTTCAGTTGGATTGGGCATAAAAGTCGAATCAACTTCGTGCGAGTATAGTCTGCAGTTTTCAAATCAATTAGAACTAAAACTATTTACTATCGCCCACTTTCGGATGCTTTCACAGCCGTGACCCAAAAACCGTCTCCTATTACACATTAAATAAAACACTTTTAACTGTTCAACACTCAAATGCATTCGTTAACTTATTTCTAATTTATATTAACTGCGGCCCGATGTTACGTACATAAGTTAACAAATCGCGTTTGAACCGTTAAAAGTGTTTTATTTAATCGTGTAATAGCTATACTACAGACCATATTCAAGTTTCATTTTCAAGATATTTCGTGTACGGTAGAGCTCACCATCGCGTACATTGAAGTTAACTTTTTTAATAGCACCACAGCATTACTTAAAAGTTAGAAAGAATTTTATTGAAAAGCTTAGAGTTCACAAAAATTAGGAAACTCGGACGTTTATATTTTTCAACTTCACGAATTCCGTGGAAACCTTTTAATAACAACAGCTGAAATAAATATTCGATGTCATGTTAAGCACTTCGTCATTAAGAATACTTTTAAAAATTAAATTAAAATAAACAAATACAGGACTTATGGGTTCTTTTTCATTTATATATACAATACGGACGCTCTGGTAGTGAGGGTAGAATTAAAAAATTTTGTATTAGGACTTACGCCCGTGGTCACGGGGAGACGGGGTTTTTTTAAAGCACAAAAATATTATTTTACTATACTAATATAGCTAATGTCTCTAATAATTAATTATTGCGAGCTGTGCAAAAATTATTGCCTATCTATACTAATATTTTAAAGCTGATGTGTTTGTTTGTTTAAAAGCACTTATCTCAGAAATCACTAGTTCCAATTAAAAAAATTTTGTTGTGAATAGTCCATGTCGAGAAGAAGAAGCTTTTACCAATGAAACAATAGGACCGTGGACGGTGGAAAATGTGGAGTGTCATGAGAGTTCAGTAAGGGAGTTGCAAATCGGATGAAATAGCCAAAAAATATGTATAAAACAATATTCCTTTTTAAATTATACTAAAACAATGTCTGCAACAGTATATGTGTATGTTTTAAAATTGATTTTCAAAACGACGCGCCCGTCGTGGGTATATTATTAACAAACATACAAAATGCTAATACAAAATTTTTAATTCTACCCTCACTACCAGAGCGTCCGTATTTGTATATATAAATGAAAAAGAACCGATAGTCCTGTATTTGTTTATTTTATTTTAATTTTTAAAAGTATTCTTAATGACGAAGTGCTTAACATGACATCGAATATTTATTTCAGCTGTTGTTATTAAAAGGTTTCCACGGAATTCGTGAAGTTGAAAAATATAAACGTCCGAGTTTCCTAATTTTTGTGAACTCTCGAGCTTTTCAATAAAATTCTTTTAACTTTTAAGTTATGCTGTGGCTCCGCGGGCCTATTAAAAAAGTTAAACCTTCAAATGCTACGCGATTCGGTGAGCTGTACCGTACACGAAATATATTGAAAATGAAAGTTGAATATGGTCTGTAGTTTACGCTATTCCACGATTAAATAAAACACTTTTAACGGTTCAAACGCGATTTGTTAACTTATGTACGTAACGTCGGGCCGCAGTTAATATAAATTAGAAATAAGTTAACGAATGTTAAACATTTCGAGTGTTAAACAGTTAAAAGTGGTTTTATTTACAAGAAAACTTGACCTTCCACGACACATGTTATGTTGTTCTGGTCGATGGGTCGCTAGGGATCTGATAAGATGGTTTTAGAAGAAAATATTAGTGCGGCTGGGAGAATCAAAGTAAACTAAAAATTTTCTAGAAAACAATACATATAGCGTTCTATATTAATTTATTTTATTTCAGGTACTCTCAAGGCCAGCTTTAACCTTCGTAGCCCAGAGCAAACATCCCCGACCAGCTTATTCAAGCTTCAAGTAATGCCATCTCCACACTAGCGTCCTCACTACGCCGCAGTGATGGGTCGAGCTGGTAGCAGTTAAGGTGGATGGTGTTAGAGGGGGAGACATGGCGCGGCGGTGCGGGCGGGAGGGGGCGCGGTGAGGGCCCGAGCGATGCGCGCGGCACTGCTCGCCCTCCTCGTGGTGCTGGGGACGTCTGGGGCGCGGAAGTTGCGCGTGTTGCAAGATGCACGCCCCGCGTTCTATGTGGGCATCGCCGCGCCGCGTTCGGCCGCCGCCGCCGTGCGCGCGTTCAACCGCACCGTCGCGGAACTGTCGCAGGCCTATGCCGGCTACCCGCTCCACTTACGCAATGTTTCCCTGTTGCCGCTCTACATCGAATTGCCGGAAGATGAAAGGTGAGGCATTGAAGGTGTGATAGATCAAATCATTCTCTTTTATAGAAGACATTCTTATAATAATTCTAATTTTCTTTACTTTATAGGGAAATAACTTTATTATTTTTCACATATTATTGCACATGCACAATAAAATATAAAAATCGATTATAAATCGACTCGGGCAGGGCTTGACTCGGCATTCACAGCGTTCCGTGCTGTTGATCTAGCCCAACAACACAGAACGGTGAGATTGATCGAGAGAAATAAAAAAAACTTTAATGATTAACAAGATTACTTAATTAACTCATGAATATTCCATTAACATAATCCTAAAATACGATTGCGTTAATAAACCAAGTGACTTACAACCTAGCTGTGCCTGTGACTTCGTCGTTCTTGCGAGTTAAGTTATTAATTATATTTAGTTAAGTTATCGTATATTTTATAATGAATAGTTTTCCCCGCTTATTCTCTCCTATTGGTCACAGGTTGAGTACGATACAAATACAAAGAAGGCTTTATATATCAATATGGTAATAAAAAACCTTCCTCAATAAATGGTCTCTCCAACAACAGTTCTTGTAAGTAACAGTAGTAATGCGAGTTCAAACAAACAAAATAACTCTTAAGCTTTATAATATTAGTATGTATAATTTTGAAATTATTTTAACTACGGCTCGGATACTAACGGAAAGACACGCCCCGTGACCACAGCTGCTGCAAAACATCCGAAACGTGGGACCGTATAAAATCATTTGTGATACATTTCGCGTTTTAAACCGTTAAAAGTGTTTTATTTAAATGTACTGCTCGCGTAAACTAGAGACCTAATAAGACCAATATAATTTTAATGAAAATTATCGTACATCTTCCAGTGCTCGCATTCTAAACGACACAAATAATTCACTTACGAATGAAGTAACAAAGAAGCCCATTTTCAATTAAAGTAAATTCATAAGACCAGTATGAATCGTTTGATATTCAGTTTCAGCTAGTTTACATAATATGCGGGCGAAATCTTAGCCTTTGTATTTGTCACATAAAGTATTCGCCTTATTCTATAATCTCTTTGTTACGGGAAACGTTCATGTATGAAAAGTATAGTATCAACAATCTGTAAACAATGTTCTAATCATAGAGGAGGACAGACAAGCACCGGGTTCACCTTATGGAAGGTGAAATACCCTAGCCGTATGACATCACACGATGCGCTGTCGACCTATTTTGGCTTTGGATATTCGGAAAGCCACAGACTGAAACCGAAATAAGCTTCACTGCTCTTTCATCTGTAGACGGTGGTTCGATATACCTACCACCCATTTAATAGCCAGATTTCCAGAAGTCGAACATGTTTCAGAAAAATTATAGATTGAACAATTAGATTCATATTGGACCCGGTGGAGTTCGAACTCAGGACCCATTGTTTATTGACCATACGTTGCATAAAATACTGTCTATAGTTTACGCGAGTAGTACACATTTAAATAAAACACTTTAACGGTTTAAAACGCGATATATTAGTTAAACTTATTTGAAAATGATTTTTAACTTTTTTAATGCTTTTGCATCCGAAACGTCGGGCCTAAGTTAAAAATCATTTTCAAATAAGTTTAACTAATATATCGCGTTTTAAACCGTTAAAGTGTTTTATGTAAATGCATACGTTGCATAGACCAACGAGCCCGTCAAAGCAAAGATTACTTGCGTAGTCACTGCAGATCCTATTAATATTTACGAAGTTAGTCGGATTGTAAAATACGATCGAGATACTTGAGAAGCAATTAGCTATCGGAAGCAAAACTTTAAGCATAATCTAAATGTTCGATCTTCGGATTCTTTGTCTAGTTGAGTTATTGAAAGAAATATATTTGTGAATTTGAACTCGTTCTTTACGTTCCCTACTTGAAGTGTAAAACTAGGGTTCAGTTATACAGTAGGTATACACTTTGAGTACGATGCACTTTGTCATTAAGCAGTGCATAAACTGTGATTGCTATCCTCTATGATAGCTATCTAGGCATTTTTTTAATAATAACAAATAAGTTGTTAGTAACTAGAAACGAAAAATATTTTTTTCCTTTTTTACAATAGGGGTAGCATGAGGATCACTTAATGGAAGATGAAGTACACCAGTCACATAACTTCTCGACATGATACGCTGTCGTCCTATTTTGGCTTTGGATATCCTATAAGCCATAAACCAAAACCGAAACGCGATTAAACTTCACTGCTTTTTCATTCGTCCCATAGCACAGATACCTTTACCTTATATATATATGTAACGTTTCTCTTGCTTAATGGTAGTAAAGTCGACTCAACGGTTCGTGGGTTCGAACCCCTACGGGTCAAGCATGTTTCTAATCAAATCTTAATTTACCTAAAATATTTGTTACTCCGTCTAGAACTTCATTTCAAATATGAAATGGGTAGGAATATCGAAATTCTGTCCGGGTCACGAACAACCGTCAACAGATGAAAAACTTTGAATTTATCGAGATTCGGTTTCGGTCGGTAAAATTTCCAATGTCAAAGTTAAAAAAGGTGCATCATGTTTAGATGTTTCTATGGCTGGGGTATTTTATTGTGTGAACCGCGTCTTTGACTGTCCATATCTACAAGTACAACTCAGACTTGATGTTACTGTTTTTATTCTTAATATAGAGGATAGCGTTACAATGAAGTTACCTAGAAATACACAGTTAATTAAATTAAATACGGACCAAGTTCCAGCATTTCTGTCTTGTTGCGAAATGAAGTTGTATAACTGAGACACAGCGTTTGTGTTGTTTGTTTTGTTATATCAAATAAACTTGTGGACACTTGTGTTGTTTGGTCGCATAAATATTTTAATGTAGAGTTTTTATGAATCCAAAAAAAAGCAATAATAAAAAAAATATATATTTCATTGATCTACGAACTAAAACTAGGAAGTATCTCAGCTGGATCGGTCTATGACACTATTAAATATAACAGAAAAAAACTGGTTGATGAAAAAATGTCAAGTACAACTAAACGAGTTAAATTGAAACCTCGAAAACATTTTCCCAATACCTTCAATACGTCGCAACTTAATACGCAAAAAGGAGTAGCCGTTTATTGTTTATAGTTTACGCGAGCGGTACAAAGCAATTTTAATTGTTTAAAATACGAAATATATTAGTTAGTTTATTTGTAATTATTCATAGGCAAGTAAGTAGGCTGCTATAAACTATTTGTTTGTAAGTATTTCGTTGATACAAATATAGAAAGACATCCCGGTTCCCGGTTCGCATAAACCGATAGACGGTTTCTTTACTGGTTTAATACCGGTGTAAAATAAAATTATAATGTAAAAGAAGTTAAAAAAAAAAATAATATAAAATTAAATTAGTCTTTGGACTCCTGTAAATTTGGATGGGATAGAAATTATAGTTTTAACGGTAGGTACAGATATTTTGCTTAAGGAATTCGTATTACCACGATTAAAATATTCGTCACAACTTAATTTAAGTAGTACTCACTTCCGGTCGAAACTCGAAAACAACTCGGCGTTTATCACGAACCTTGTGTGTGCGACTACGACCGCGTAGAATGGTTATTTCGGGCATCAATTACCATACATATTTTTGGGTATTTTGAACCGTCTTCGAAGCGTACGCAACGAAAACGCACAAGGATGCATAATTTTCTCCCTTTTTCCACATTTCTCGTTGTTTCTTCGCTCCTATTAGTTACAGTTTTATAACACAAAAATAACTTTCAATACCAACTTGTAGTTCCTTAGATTAGTGCGTTCAAACAAACAAACTCTTCAGCTTTATATATGAGTAGAGATTTCTCGACACCAAACAGAAGTTAACACAGTTTCCAATTATTTCAATTTGACTGGTGTGTTCGTAATAATAGCTTTCAACTGTAACCATCGAATCTAATGGCTCCATTCATTTTGTAGTTTGTAGTTCGTTAGCTTTAATAAATATTTCATGACTGACACAAATGAAATAAAACTTATAATGAACAGTGTTGAATTGTTTTTGTTCTGTGAAAGCGTTGGACTATAGGAATGGTTTATTTGTAAAATGCTGTTACAAACAAAGGTGTGAGTTTTGGTAGACGTACTGTTGTATCTGTTACTTATGAGTTTTTAAAGACATTTGGATAGAAAAAAATCAACACTGTATGTATGTTTAAAAAAAAAACTATATTTTACAAGAAACATGTGTATATATCAGGTAATGATATTTTATATTTATATGATAGAAAACCTTCATACATAACATGAAATACATACTTCGAATTGTTCATATTTTTTTTTTAATACAGAAAGACAGATAGGCATATAGTTCACTTTGAATAAAATACCCCACCCACGTGGCTCATCACAAAAAGATGCGTGGACAACCTATTTTTTATGTGAATCTATACTTAAATAGCTAAAGAGTTTGTTTAAACTTTCTAAACACAGGAACTACTAAATACTTCACCTTTAAGGGTACCCGTTGCCGGCCCTTTGAAAAAAGAATGATTCCGCTTTATATAATCTCAAAATATGTCCATCAAAGTTAAAAGTTAAAATTGATTTATAAAGATGAGAGATGCAAAAACAAATTTCGATTTCCATAATAACTATTCTACGCGGACCGCTATCATGATAAAATTGTCATAATCAACGTTAACACGCGTTATCTAACTTTATATCTGGAAAGCTCACAATGTGCTTAGTTAAGCCAGCTATAACTAACAATTCCAATGAAATACGCTGTCACATGTTCTAGTTAAATAAACTTTATCACTCGCAACCTATATTATGTCGGCGATTCGAGTAAAGCCGCGGAGTTGACAGGAGAATCAGCCAGTGATTGTGTTTCGTCACGCCGCTGCAGTGTAACTTTTCTCGTCGATAAAGTTTTATCTATTCGCTGTTCTTCATTTCTTTTATAACAAGGAAGCTAGTGTGTGAAGCTTGTAATAAAATTTGTGAAGCTATGCAGCTTTTTCACAAATTTATACATTATACACATTTTTTTACATTATACATTTTTCACAAAACGTATATTTTCGTACTTATAGTTTACCGTATCACATTAAAAAAAACATTACGGTTTATAACCGTTGATGTCTCCCCGTAACCACGGCTGCTGCAAAGCATCCGAAACGTCGGACCGTAGTTAAAAATAATTTCCAAATAAGTTTATTAAATATATATTGTCTTTAAACCGTTAAAGTGTTTTATTTTAATATTATTACCATTAGCTCAGGTTTTTCTTAATTTTTCAAATGATTGTTTTGCACAACCAACAAATTAAATTAAAATACAAACTTTTATTCCGTTAGAGTGGTATTGGATCAAACATTATGTCTTCTTTAAATTTTTACAACTTGTTCACGTCTCCGTTCTCCAAGTTAATCTAAAATATATATTTAGATCATTTAAAAGGGGAATATTCTTTAATAAATTTTTAGAGATTAAATTCAAAAAAAACAAACCAAAAAAACTCTCACTTTATATATTATCATCGATAAATCTTAAATTAAAGAAAAAACATCAAAATTTAAACTTAAGTTTCCTGCTTTTGGATACTTCCAGCTTGCAACTAGGTCCTAGACCATTCCTTAAAAAGTACTAGAATTTAAGCAATGAAAATATTCTTAAGACATACATTGAAATATAGCAAGATGACACCCTTGAAACAACAAATAAAACCGCAATCTTATCAAATAAAACTTTACATTCAAGACTTATGTGATACGATCTTCAACTATTTCAAATCATGACGTCACGTAAAATTTATACGACAGCTGCAGTTAAGCGTAACGATAATATTATTCAAAACATAACGACGCCCGATTTAAGAGTTTAAGTCGCAGTCGCTAGGAATAAAGCGAACAAAACTACGGGTCGTTTCCTTGGAATTGGGGACTATTAAAAAGTACTTTTGACTGGCAAGGTCGTAATTAAACGCAAATAACTTATACTTCGTCTAATATAGGATGATAAGTGGGTCCGTTCATGAAGGTCGAATTTTCTGTACACTACTAAGTAATACTAAACTTATACTACTAACAAAAATGCCCATCTGTGTAGCCTAATGGTTAAAAGCGTTGTTTAGGATTGCGTTAAACTTAGAGGTACTAGGTTTGATACTGGGGGAAACGATAAATTGTTTCCCGTCGGGCAGGCATAGAAGTATCATAATTACTTGTAAATAAATCGAATACTGAAATGGACACCGCCATGTGATCGCCCCAAGATCTACAGGGGATTTGATTGTACACTTTTTACTACAAATATCTATTACATATTTATCACCAGTCCTCAAAGAGCAAAGAAACAGAGGGTAGTCGTAATATAATTATTTAACTCATTCTTCACCTAATACTTATAACGTAGGTATAAATTGTCCTTATTATATTTATCTGTTCAAAACATGTTTTCTTACCGAGTTAGTACAATTCACGAGCAATTAGTTACACCTTCCTTATAGTCTACTTATCATCCTAAATCAAACAAGTATAAGGCCTTTGTAGGCGCATCACGCGTTACCCCATTGTAATTGCGGGTTCTATAAAGGAAATCTCCAATGGGTATTGTTTTAATATAATATAAGTTGCGATAAGGGAATTGGTGAATTATGCCCTGGAGGAACTAAATTGTATCGATCTGTTTCGGTAGACAATATATAGTGAGCCAGCCTTGTATACATAATTAAATATATTAGGAATTTGGATTGAATTAAATATTTTAACGGTTTGAAACACGAATTTATACAATTTTAAAATTTAGCGATTATTCCAGTTAAATGTGCTATATAAGTAAAATATGCGATAGATTTTTTTTGCCTTAGCTTCATACATACCTCTTGCGTTAACTTTTTCGTCTACCCAACCCATTTTATTAAACAGATCAATACAACAGACGTCTGATCAAGTATTTTGTTTGTTACCTGTGAAAATGAAACTACTATGCATTTACTGGTTTTGGTAAGAAGGGTAGAAATAAATCACTCCTCAGTTATAAATTATTTTAATATACAAAATATACGATCTAGAAGTTAAATGATTTTTATAGGTATAAGAATACGTACAATGGTTTATACAAATATGCTATGTGGAACTTTACCTAACTATCAGTACCGACATATAATATAGAGAAAAACGGATTTCTATAGTTTACGCCAGTTAAGCTTTAAAATACAAAACATACTAGATCAATAATTTTTAAATGAACTGAAATTATTTAGTAGACTTTAAAGACTACAAAAGTTGTGTAAAAGTTAATAAAAGTAATAAAATTTCGTATTTCGAATAGTTACAAGTGTTTTATTTAATAAAACATAGTTACTTGAATGATTGTACTCGTAATTTTAAAATAAGAACATAAAAGCTATTGGAAGTTTTTATTATTTTTAAATCGAAAAAGAAGAGTGACAAAACGCGGAACGCCCATGGTTGTAGGTTGGAATCCCGCTCATATTAAAATTATTTTTTATTTAAAAAGAAATTATATATCTGAGAACAGAACAGTAAAACGCAATACAACCGAACGAAGATAAAGTCCGAAAATATGATGAGCATTAAACTGAAGTGCTTTTACAATCCTGTAATATTATGACGTCGTAAACGGATGCTAAAAGAAACGCCTTAATATCGAAGATTTCCCGGGACACGTTTTATGTGACAATCGTCTATTCGATTCTTTTAGCGAAGATCTTCAAGTGCTCTGTGTCGGTATTAAATTCGATTTCGCACTGTTCACCGAACTCTTTGTAGGAGACTCGGTGTAAGCATTCCATGCCCGCTTTCTCTGCAGCTTTTTGAGCTGCAGTCGTCGTGAATATACCTCCGGTCACACTCTGGCCGATTTCCTTGGCGAGCAACATTCTGTAGGCGAAAATTATAGACATTTAGATCCTAGTTCGGTTCAAGCAAACGAAGAGAAGTGGAAATCTGCTTCATGGTTCGTTGTCGGTTTCTCTAGTTGCTTTTATGTAGAGAAATGAAGGTATCTTTTAAAGTAAAGCTGTAAAATACATTTTTAGTGCGCGCTAAAAATATAAAAAACTTCTTGCTTAATTATAAAAGATTATTTATTTTGATTGGGTGTAACTCAATAGGCAAGAGAATTTATCGGTAATAAAATAGATTTCTAAACAAACTTTACAAATATCACATCACCATTTTCCGGATAGTAAAATATCTGGTAATTGGTTATGAATATAAAAATGGTATATAAATCAACATGATAATCTAAAAAAAACCAGTCTCACCGCCTATTTATTAGATTTTAAATATATCTGTCTGTTAAAAAAAGAGAGGGTCTAACACAAGAGTGTTAAATGAGTGTTTTTTAATGAAACAGTTCGTGAAGGGTTTGGTTTTTTTGACATTGCAATTTCATCATGATATTTTCTTTGGCCAAAGAGCTGACCATATATTACAATAGTAAACCATTATTTCATTCTTTTCCCCAAGGCTCCACAGGGGGCAAATAGGTTAGTGTGTTTCAGTAATCGATTCATTAACTTATCGAAATTTATAATTGTGTAAAGCTTATAATCAATTGCAAAAGATATTATTTCAGAAAACTACCTTAGTTATTCATATGTTATCTGCTTATAATACTAATATTATCAAATATAATAAAAGCGTTATTCACATAATAACTTCAGTATCGATTCAAATTTTCACATAAAATCATTTACAATCTTCTTCAGCACTTTAAAAGTATTTTCAGGTGTTCATAGTTTTCGTAATCAACCTCTTTGCGCACAGTATAATAAACAGAAGAAAGTATTAAACGATAGTTTAGCTAGTTTTTATTGCGCCACAATTTTATAAATTCAATGTGAAACTATAATATTAAATTTTATTAAGAAAGTTCTCGAATTGTTAATTTTGGTTACGTATTACGAAATATTGTATATTTTGGTATGTTGTAAGCTTACTACATAATACCTATTATTCGACTCTTTTCGGTGGAAAATTAACTGTAGTTGTTTAAAAGCTTCTAAATATTTTTAATATCTCAAAAAAAAATATTTTTTTTTAACAAACTACTTGTTAACATTAATACTTCAATAATTACTTATCCTCACTAGAAAAACATTTTTAATTTTCTTACTCTAGTATTGTGTGTTCATTTTATCTGCTTACTAGACATTTTGTATATAATACCACGTACTAATTGTACACTCTCAAAATTTATCACATGGTGATAGTGAAGTATATATTATATTATATTGTAATACCTACATGTAATACGCTGTTTATTTCTATCGAATTCCTTAGGTTCGCATACCTTTACCTGCAATTTAGTAGTTGAACAGAAATCCCAAGACGCCTGTACTCAGGAGCAACGGAAAGCCCGGCACCCATGAGGTATGACGTCACGTCGTACTTGTCATAAATGGCTGGCACCTTCACGGCCTCAGCAAACATCCGGAGAGAGAGGAGGCCTGCTTTTGTTTTCGGCTGAACGGAAAAAACAAAATAATAGTAGTTACACAAACATCTTTCACGTAGGATATGCTAATGCTTCGTACGAATAAATAAGTTTTCACTTTTAAATAAAACGGTTTAAAACGCGATATATTAGTTAAACTTATCTGAAAATGATTTTTAACGTCGGCTCGACGTTTGGGATGCTTTGCAGCAGCCGTGGTCGCGGGGAGACCAACTCTTCCCTTTTTTCAGAAAAAGCTAAATAGTAACATAATAATAGCATACAGGATGGTTTCTATCTAAATGATTCCGAGACGTTGACTTAAGGCCCGAATAATCTTGAGATTGATTTTCGGGACAACAAAACGGCAATGCTTATCATTGTTGCCTTTAACCACCGATACTTTGCTGTAAATTTGACAGGGTCGCCTCTGTTATGGTAGCAATGTATGGCTAACACTCAACGGGTCGTGGGAACCATCCCACCGGTTTCAACATTCTTCAAATCAATGTATAATTTTCTGAAACATGTTGGTTTCTCTCTGGAAGTCTGGACCTTGAATTGAATTCGACATCCACAAATGCAAATACCATGAAATTTCATCGCGTCCAAATATAAGGCAACATAGGTCGAGAGCGCATCTTAATTTGATTTGATAGGGGGGGGGGGGATTTCACATACCTCCTCTATCATAAAAAAAATCTGACAGTGGAAAAGTAATCAGAGTGTTAATAAAAATCCTTTATTATAAAAGTCATATAATCTTCGTTATTTAAAAGTATTACAATCTAGTCATTTGCAATCAGATTTGGATTATACCGTTCCTCTTGCTTCCAGTGCTTTCCAATTACGATCGAATGAAATAATATTGCCTTTTCATTGAACTATCATTTGAATATATCTTTCGCATGTTTGTATGTGAGTTTATAGCGAGTAGATAATACTACTTACTTATTTATGAATTACTTAACTAATAGTATATAACTTAAGAGTTTATTTGTTTAAAAGTACTAATCTCAGAGAGTACTGGTGGAAATTGAAGAAGCAGGCGCAAATTTACTATCCTCGAGGACTTCCGTGGCGTGCGTTGCGAAAACGGTTCAAGAAACCAAAAATATTTTATGAGAAAATGATCCCTCTTTGAATGATCAAAAAAAATATCGGCAACAGTATGTGTTTGTCTTTTAAGATTATTTCGCAAGAACCGTTTATAAAACTATGAAATTTTGTCGAAACTGATGCATTGTTACTAGTTATTTATTAGAGTTGTCTCAACATAATAATAACAATCTTGCGAACAACAAAACGTCGGATTAGCTAGTATACTAATATAAAAGCAAGTAGTTTGATTATATTTTCTGTAATTCAAACTTAGAACCACATGTGGGTAACGCAATACATGCTACTCGTTTTAACTATCGTCTTTTGAGTACGATGATTCCACTTTTAATATGCTTAAGATAAGAATTCGATATGTAGGCAAAAAAATAATCAAATCGCAGGTTCGTTTCCTGGAAAGAAAAGCCATAAACACAGTTGTTAATTATGTAAGTGATAATTTTTTCTGATGTAAATGACCAAAATGTCATACATTGTAACAATTGTTAAAATTTTAAAGAGAATATTGTAAGAACTGGAAAATGTTGGCTTGTTACCCAACGTCGTGTTAAACTATGTAAGAGTTTAACTCTTTTGTGTGACTGTGGTCTACTTTAGCTGAACCGATGCCAAACGGGCTTTTGTTTCAAAGTTGACCACCATTTTACAACTGTTCACTTAGAAATACGTCTATTAATAAGATCGAAAAACTAAACATACTTTACGCATCTATACTCTTTAGAATGAACGCTTTCACCTCAATAAAAGAACCTGATTTTAAACTGATAAGGCATAGGAAACTTTTGAATAAAACACTTTGAACTGTTGAATACGTGAAATATATTAGTTACCTTATGCCCTTTTTATAATAATTTTAACCGGTGTAACCAAGACTCCGCTACTGCAGCGCATCCGAAACGACGGGCCAAGGATAAATTAAAATTGAAATAAGTTAACTAATATGAACCGCGTTTTAAACCGTTTAAAATGTTTTATTTAAATAAATACTATGAAACTACAGATTAATATAAAGAGGATTTTGTCTGTAGATCAAACAGTGAAACTGGCCCAAAAACAACCTCTTACCTCACAAATATGTTTTTTTTACTAGGATCATTAATAGATTTGTGTCTTTTAAACGGCAATTAAAAATTAACTACTTTTATAAAAAATATCAAAAAATTAATAACAAATATTATTATTACAAAGGATCAAGTATATGACCTAAACAAGGAACCTTATTTTCTTGAAATTTAATGAAACAGCTGAAAGCATCGCGAACTTATTTTAATTAAAAGTTTACATCTTAAGCCATTCGGTAATTAAAAAACTTCAAGTCCGTTATATCTATTATGAAATAAGTTAAAATACATTTGGACTTATTGCGACCTGGTTTGATAATATTGATTTTAATCTATATCTCAATTAAATTGGATTCAATAACTACCGTTTATCAAACTATAGATCTTTTAGTTTTATATTTTTAAATCAGTACAAATTTGGAGAATTTTTCTTTTTCATTCTTGTAATACATAAAGGTATTACAAGTTGGTTTATATTTAGTGTTTAGTTAGTTAGCTATTTCATGTTTAGTGACTAGTGTCTGGTGAATATTTCTATAGTAAGTATAGTAATATAATTTTGTTTATTTCCGTAAATAAAATAATATCTTATTAAATTGAACGCTTTAAAACGAGAAATTTATATACTATTTTGAACTTCTTTTCGGATACTTTGCAGTAGTCATGGTCACGGAGTAACAACTTAATACATTTCGAGTTTTAAACCGTTGATTAGTGTTTTACTTTAAAGCATAGTACTCGTTTAAAGTTCATGCTACACTTAATTAACTAATCTTAACTCAACAGTTTAAAAAAGCAATTAGGAGCTTCAAATCACCCCACGACGGGTCCTACCCGAAACGTCGGATCAATGAAAATTTTATTCACATTAAAAAACACCTTTGACAGTTGGTACTCAGTAAACGACAGTTACAACTTAAGTTTTGACGTAAACTTAGAAATAAGAGCCCCACAGAACCTATATAGTAATAGGGTAAGTTACAAACTCACTTTCTTACAAACACTTACCGGATTATGTTCAACGAAGTGGTCCTTCTCTTGAAGCATACACATGTTGACACCGACCAAAGTTTTCTCCTTAGCATCGTCGCCGAGAAGGAAACAAGCCAGGCTCATTTTCTGGCTTATAATGCCTTTCCACAGCACTCGGTACTCTTGCACGGCATCAGGATCTTGTGCAGTTCCTAAGAATTAAATACAGAGTAATGCCATATTTTTTTTCAACAACATTGGGTTCACTAATACCTGTCGTCCTATTAGACTGGATATCCGAAACCAAAGTTGAAAAACTATTAAATTCACGGCTTTTCCAATTGTAACCGCCCATAATACCCAATGTCCAGACAAGTTCAAAGTGTCGGAATAATTATAAATTGAAAAATTACAAACAGTTGGACACGGTGGGGTTCGAACTCACGACCTGTCGATTATTAACCGTACATTGCTGCCATTAAACCAACGAGGCAGTCAATAATGTACTATTTCCAAACGTTGGTGAAGTTTGTTAATCGATTTTTCATGTCAAATATTTATCTAATAAATAAAAATTGATCTTGCTATTCTGAAGATCTTGATTTTCATTTATACAAAGTAAATTTTGAATTGTAAAGTTTCTGTATTGTTTGACGTCACATTGTCCCTTTGTGGACTGACTAGTCCTTTGGCGTAAATGTAACTGACATACTGAAATAACACAGGTTACCTTTTATCACAAAGTAAAATAGGGACCATTGACTGTAAAAATTGCGGAAATGAATTAATAACAAGTTATTTCTCGGTTTGTATTATTTTTAATATGTCATTACATGTACAAACAATTAAATTAAAACATTTTTAAAATTGGAAAAAATATTGCACAGGCGTGACTTGAACCTATAACTTCAGCGGTCAATTGCTTACCAACAATGTACTGTTCTACTAATTGACAAGGCAATTCAAATTTGTTTTTGTTTTTTATTTACCAAACACTTTTTTATATGTTTGTTCAATAAGTTTTGACTATACATACTAACTTTTACTCTTTCCCTTTCCCGAGTAAGCTAGCTTAGCTTATGTCCCCAGAGGTTAATATTTGTTTACAGGTAACATGACTTAATTAATATTAAATAGTAAGCTTCTTAGCCAATTTTGTATAATTAAAGAGAAAACAATATTATTATGTTTTAGAATTATAATTAATACATTTTTTATTATAACGACAAACGTCTACATTTAGTTTTTGTTTGTTGCTTTATCATATCTATTAAAAAATATACGTAAATTTAACTTTGTATGTTTTTCTAACATTAGAAAACACTTTAACGGTTTAAAACGCGATATATATTAGTTAAACTTATTTACAATTTAATTTAACTACGGCCGACGTTTCGGAACCTTTGCAGGAGCTATGGTCGCGGGGAGAAAAAAACATGCAATTATGACTAGAAAAACAAAATAGTGTGAATGTGTGTGTGCTCACACCAACAACACAGAACAACAGCTATCAACGACTTAAAATAAACGACAATACTAACACACAAATAGAGATTGGATTAACAAAGACTTGAATCGGCCTGTACAATAAGCCTTAAATAAATACCTACAACCCTAAAGATAAACACAATTTGTATGGTAGATATTGGACTAAATGTATTTGCATATAGTTTTGACTTAATGCGAATGAATTATTAAACTGTTTTAGTTTGCTGTTCAGATTAATTCCCACTTATTTTCCGTGTTAAATAGAGTGTTAAGCTGTGATGCTGTTACGTCATTGGCAGCTTGTTAATAGCTTAATTTTAATACTATTATGTCTTTTAAATAAAACACTTGAACGGTTTAAAACGCGATATGTTAAAAATCATTTCCAAATAAGTTTAACTAATACATCGCGTTTTAAACCGTTAAAGAGTGTTATTTAAATCTGCACTATTCGCGTAAACTACAGACAGTGTTACGACACTTTTTAAAGATTTAATAAGGATATAATAATAGTGCACTATGTCGATTAAGTGCCTTAGGCAATTTTTGAGTATCGTTGAAACTTGATAATTTCGGTCAGGTTGGCCACAGAAATCGGCTCGACAATTTGCCTTTAAATTAAACTAATTAGTGAAAGGGATGCCGTGTCTGCCCCTTATCCCAATAAGGGAAATAATTTTTTATTTACTCATAATAATATGGGTGAAGTTTATGTCAATACCTTAATGTTAATTGTATTTATTCGTTGCTTTTTGTGTATCCGTATTAAAAAAGTTCACCTCAGAAAAAAAATAAAATGGCTCACCAGCTGTCGACCACCAGACATCTTCCTCGATGTAATTACCAAGCATAAACTCCACTGCAGCGTCCCACATGGATTCTGGGACATCCTCGATTACGAACGACGATGCCTTCCCACGAACATCACGCTCGAATTTGCCCCAAACCCTGGGATATTCTCGGGACATTTTTGTATTTGAAGACTAGATCGCAGCCAGAGCAGATTGCTACTGAAGTGTATTCGTAATGTTGTTTCGTACATCGGCTTGGAATCTATTACATATTGAATGCGAATGTATTATGTATATTGGCTCAAGGGTGTTTCGTTGTTGAGAGGTTTAAATCCGATTTTATTATAACGATTTGTGTAGTGTCTGTGACCAGTAAAACCTTAATAAGTTTCTGTGATAGGTTTTATCATTAGCAATCAATATTTAGTATATAAAACAGGTCTATATATTGTTAAGTTGATGTAACAATTACAATTTAACATACAGTTGAATAACATGTTTCTTTTAACGGTTTAAAACGCGAAATATACCACTTAAATTTAGTTAAAGCATTTACTATAACTCAGACCCGATGTTTTGGTCGCTTTGCATCAAAGCATTGAACTAATATTCTTCATTTTAAACCGTCAAATATGTTTTATTCTTATTTGTAAAATACTACTAACATCTTTGTATATCAATAGTTATTCATTTGTAAAAGTTATATTTTAGTATTATACATACATCAGACATTTCGTAATACATATATTCGTTGTTATTAGACACAAAAATATTTTACGTGTCTATAGATATATAAACAAAGTTTTTAACTTCCTAAGGTATTTTTTTTATATTTTTATTTATATAAGCCGCTAGAATATAATAAAGAGACAAACATTTCTAGTCTCACACAAAATATTTCGCTTTTCTCTCGGCATTCTCTACGCTTTTCGTTACTGGTATAAATTCTTTGTGTCCTTGGGTAACCACTAATTGAGGACACTGGTACTAATGAAATCAACTTTTTTTAGATGTTCTCCGAAATCGGAAATGTTCAATTTGACACGATTGCATGATTGACCTTTTTGTGCCAGATTATGAAAATGTCTATCGGTTTATTATCTAATCGTTTTACATATTATTAATAGCTAGATTCTCTACTTTGCATCGAAAAGTTACTTTTTGTAAAATAAGTATTGGTTTTAAAAATAAATACCAATGAATTGAAATATCGGAATGACGTTAAACATTTGTTTCCACACCACAAGTAGACAAAGACTTAAAATATTATTAAAAAAAAAAAACACTTTTAACTGCATAAGACGTGAAATATATTGGTTAACTTATGTGGTTTAATTTATTTAAATTACGGCTCGACATTTGGGTGGGCCGTATTTAATTATTTTATAGTCATGGTCTCGGGGAGACTCAAATTGAAACGTCGGGCCATAGGTAAAATCTAAAAAAATTAATTAACTAATATATTTAACGTTTTAAACAGTTAAAAGTGTATTATTGAAATGTGTACTACTGGCATAAACTTCAGATAGTACTTTGCTAAAAATCTATTTTATATTAAAAATTCATTAACACAGAGGAGATGGATCGGACTTCTTCAATCTAAAAGCGTGCGCATCTATTTGCGTGTGAATTATATTTTATAGTTGAAAGTTGAAGCTTAAAATGAAAAACTTAGTTGTTCAAACTAAGTTAAGCTAATTAAATAAAACCCTCACTATCTCTTTATATCACCCGCGTAAAAATGATTCCAGTATTTCTTTAGATAATGTAGTGCATGTAAAAACAATATTTTTTCTATTATTTTTTTTTTAAGAGTATTTTTAAGCCGCCTATTGTTTTAATCTTATATAAGCTATATATAATTACATAGAAACGCGTAAAGTCCTTAGGTTACTCTTAAATATGTACGGCTACAATATAAAACACCCCCACCTCACAAATCGAATTAATTAAATTTCTATAAAAATCATTATAATATTTTCCCTTACACAGGACGCTGTTAATAATTTCCAGGATATTTTTCCTCCTTATATAGTAATTAATTAAAAAACGCCGCCCGCGAGCGAAGCTTAATTAATCATGCTGTATTTGAGCGATGCAATGAGATCGTGAGTAATTCAATATTTGCTCATGGTCCCGTGATATGTTTGCGGTGTTATTGAATGCTAGTACTAGCTTAGAATACTTAATTACTACCATTACAATCATTAATTATATGAGCCGGCTAGAGGCAGAGTGGCCTAATAACAAAAAACATGACTTTTATATAAATACGTAGTTAATTTAGGCCCAATTGAATTGAACTATTATTTGTGTACAAATTGTGTTTACAATTTTTGTCACTGTTCTCTTGTAGATTAAGATTTGGCTATGAAAATATGAATAATTCAACTCATTAGCAGTTAGGCTACTCTGCCTCTGGCGGCCTTATATATCATTGTGTATGTTAAGTAAGTAATGTCATAAGCGAATTGATTCCTCATGTTAAACTTTAAAAGCTGATTTACTTAGTTATTTGAAAGAAATATTTTAATTACATTACAATGTTACTCGTATTATTAAAACATGCAGGTTTTAGTATCGTTTTAGATAATCATTGAAGATTGAATTGAGATTGACGAGAGTAGTAGAGTTAAAAATGTTTCATTCCAAAATAAACCTTTAATGTAACGTTTTGCGGTAACAAGTCAAAACTACAACAATTTACCAGAGATTCTATTCATACAGTAAAAAAATAATATTTCCCTAGACACTTTTCTATGTCTGTTTAAATGGACGATCAATTATATAATTTTTATGATAGAGAAGGACGGACAAGGATCGCCATCCTTTTTTTTGATGATAGATGAAATGCCGCAGCCATATAACATCTGAACAAAATACGCTATCGACCTATTTTGGCTTTGGATATTCGGAAATCCATAGACTGAGCGCGCATAGAACAGCTACCCGTATGGAATTTCAATACTCCCATCACCCATTCAATATCCAGATATTCACAAGTGCCCTGCCCGACCGAAAAACATGATACGTGCTATTATTAAGCTTGTTCCTAGACATTATTAAAGTATTTCTGCCATTTATTAAGTTAACTACTTATGTATAATACACAAGCAGTACACATTTGAATTAAACATTTTTAAGGTTTTAAACGCGATGTATATTAGTTAACACAGTTACAACTCGCGTAAACTACAGATAGTATTTAAGTAGTAGACATTAAATCAAAACACTGATTTTATTTAAGAATTTAGTTCACTTATTTACAATTTTTTTAACGCTTGCCCGACATTTTAGATGCTTTGCAGCAGTCGTGGGTACAAGGGGACAAAATAATATATAAAAAGTAAACTTAACTAATACAATACGCATGTTAAACCGTTAAAATTATTTTATTTAAATTCATGAATAGACGGCAAACAGATTTATCAAATAAATCATACATTCATCTAACAGATCTCTACTTCTAGAATTCTTGTAAACACATTCGCGGGTATGCCCTACTTAGGTGGGTAGGTCATGGGTATCTATCGAGAAGTAAACAAAGTGACGCTTACAAATTGTATATTACCTCTTAATGTTATTATATAGCAATACACAATGTGGTAGCTGTAATTTGATAAGCAAAGCCTTGTATCGTGTAATTGTATCATTATATATACGTCTAGCTAAATAGCTATATAACATCAATATTTTAATACATATAAATAATGGACATTATAGAATAGTCGAATATAGCGTTGTGTATTAATATTACAATCTAATTATAAGTATTGTTTACTCATTGGGGAATGTGAGCAACCAATATTTCAAGCCGTATTTAAGAATATTTTTAACTAATATATATCGCGTTTAAAACCGTTAAAGTGTTTTATTTAAACGTGTACTACTCGCGTAAACTACAGAGAGTATTTACACTACTAGTATGCCACAATTTGAAAAACACAAATTTCAAAGAGATTTCTTGACCAACCATATATTTTTTTCTAAAAGCAAATATTAAGACTAAACATTCATATGTCGGGGACGGTCATAAATACCGACACTAAACGTGTCGGAGGAGGAAATTATAAACCCGGTGATCCAACTACCTCTCACGAGGACGTGTGAGATGTCATGATGTGCGTGTCACAGTGCTGCCATCTATTATATTTACCTAATCGACAAATCGTATTGGGACACAGCTGTGTGCCCACCGGGTAGTTTAGTTCTAATCGTGAAGCGACTGTGTCTTGTTGCGGTAAAGGTTATTACCGTTTATATTGAACTTACTGCGTTTCTAAAAGTAATCCGTTTGAATTGCTTTAATCCTTGCTTACTTTGTGTTAAATCGATTTTAGATTATTGTAATAGTCTTTTGATGTTGGCTACACGCTTCGGCATTATGGATGTGATTTGTCTCCAAAACCATATACATAGTTTCGTTTGGTTAGGGTATAGAATTGATTTGCCCCATACCCACGAAGAAACAGAATCGCACTTTAATTTAAGTCCTCCTACACCAACTGCATATAAACAAACTGTATTTTCAGATTCAGTGCGCAAGTGTTGGAGCAGATGTGCGCGGCCTTTGAGGGTAGGCGCGTGGCAGCGCTGTTGGTCTGCAGCGGTGGGCCCATCGCGACAGCCGTCGTCAGTGCCGCCACACACGCCGGTGTCCCCACCGTTCGCACGTCACCCACACACTTGCATCTACCCTACACCATCGCAAATGTAAGTAGCGTACGAAAAGTTTGAAAGGCAGTTTTTCTTGCACTTCAGTGTACATAGAACGAATATATATGCAATAAGATAGAACGCTTTGTGATAGATTCGAATACGGAATGTAGTTATTTATTTTCGGTAACAACTGGGATATTAGCTCATAATCCTTCAAGCAATCGAGGAGCTAACATCTTCTGCTGATGCCGGACGCTAGTGTTGGCGAAACGTCGAGGTCGAAACTCGCTCAGGTCGGCCGCACAGCCCGTAAAACAATGATATGCTGAACGATGGCCGTAAAAGCCTTACACAATTTATTAAAATAATTCCATTTTCCTGCTATGTAAACTTTTGAACATTGTCACCAAGATTAAGCCAGGGTTTTATCAACAGCCTTTATGAAATACAGATTTTAACTCTGAGTAAATTATAACATACCGTCTGTAGTTTACGCGAGTAGTACACATCTAAATAAAACACTTTAACGGTTTTAAACGTGGTCACGGCTGCTGCAAAGCATCCAAAACGTCGGGCCGAAGTTAAAAATCATTTTCAAATAAGTTTAACTAATATATCGCGTTTTAAACCGTTAAAGTGTTTTATTTAAATTATAACATTTTAATTTTTTTAGTATCTCAAATTTACCACGCTTCGCGCGTTTCAGGCGCAGCGGGCCGGGGACGGATGAAACGTCATATATAAAATGATGACAATTTTGAGTATGTTTTTGAGCACTTGATTGTATTGTTAACTTTTCAGAGATTAAGTGATATTAGTGAAATTTAAATTTCGTTTCTTTAAATAAAGCCCTCAATAACATATACTCACATAAATGTATATGCGTTTCTACGTTTGCCCGACGTTATTCAGTATTTCGATGTAGTAGCCTGTAATTTGGGCAATTGAACAACATGACGTTGTGGTTCACTCAATGACATAAGCGGTTGAATTTTACGGAATCTCTGTGACCACAAATGCTGAATTCGTCCACGGTTTGAACCCAATTCGCTAACGATACAAATGAATTGTTAGTCGACGTGAAATCGTGCGGAAATTTTCGTAAATTTAAAATTAAGCTTTTTAATTTTTCTATACTAACGTAATTGTGGTAATCGGTATCGCTACCATGTCATATTCTATTATTGTTTGTATTTTTGCGATTTTTATCTATGTATGTATTCGTATATGTAAATGCATTTAATAGAATCGGTCAAGTAGCTATTTAGTCATACCACTTAAAATATGTAAAAGAATTGTTGTATTGTACTAAAAGGAGTGGCCGTTTTGTAAGCATATTCTTTTGTATTTTTTTATTAAGTTGAAATTTCGAAGATATAAAAATTCTTTCGTAAATCCTTTTTGTTTATACAACTTTCAATGGTATAAAAATACAATAACCTAGTCACCGTTCATGGGAGACAAAGTCGGTAAGTTATAATATAATTACAAGCGATCAAAGGAAGGTCCAAATATACCGTCCAATAAAAGAAAAAATGTTTCAACGTCCGGATATTGTTAGAATTTTGTCCAACAAAAATTCGCCACTGTCATAAAAATGTTGGCCATTCATAACGTACTTTGGCGACGATTACCGCGTGACGTGAATTGATAACCTTTTTTCCTGGAGCGAGTGTCGCAACTTAATTGTAACAATCATGCTTACAATTTGTTTTAGGACCTGCTGCCTTTGGAAGTTCGACTCGAAATCACTGTGCGAGAAACTTTGCATGCGCTCAGGTGAGTTGTAGAAGTCGCGAACACACTTTCTAGAAAAGTGGCAAGATCAAAGTAACGTCAGCTTTGTGTAATAGTGTAATAGGAATAGAGATAAGTTTAGTCAGAAACATTCACAATTAAAACTCAATGTAACAAACAATATCAGGAAGAGTAAATAAATCTTAACAAATACAATAGTTGACTGAAAAAGAATAACAACTGAAAAAGGAGCCACTTCTGTGGCCCTTTCAGAGGCCGCCATTTTGTCTTCACACCTACACACTAACACTTAACAGATTTTGTATAATAGAGGATAACAGATAAGCATGGGGTCACTTGGTGAAAGGGGAAATACCCCAGACATCTAAACAACACGCAGTCGATCTATTTCAGCTTAAGATATTCGGAGATCGACAGATTATCTCGAATAAACGCCACAGTATTTTCATCCGTGGGCGTTGGTACGTGACCCGGACGGAATTTCAATATTAACCATTAATCAGATTTGTAGCCCAATGTATTGGAATAAAATTTTATATTGATTAGAAACATATTGAACCCAAGGGGGTAGGACATACGACCCGTTGATTATTTGCCATTACACCAACTAGCATGATATTATATTTGAATTTATTACACGAGTTTTATGGATTGAATCCCACAGGGCTACTCTTCTACACACACATTGGCATAGCTTCACCTTACTCACGGAGCAGGATATTTACTTAGCCCTATCCCTAAGGAGAGATCTGTCTTCGATCCTGAACACTCAACCGCTTAGTCCAAAATGGCTTCCGCTTCCACCGAGCCGGTCTCGTCGTATTGTTTTCAGGTACATTCTTAATTATTATTTAAATGCTTATTAATTTACCAAAAACGTAGTGTTTAAAAGCTAACTTGAGAGAATTATTAGTTGTCTAACGAGTTACCTAATTCTTTTTTTAATATAGAGGAGGACAGACAAGTATGATGGTAGGAGAAATACCTCAGCCATATAACTTCTAAACAAAATGCGCTGTCGACCTATTTTGTCTTTGGCTTTTCGGAAATCCACAGACTGAAACCGAAACGCGATTAAACTTTTCCATCTGTGTACAGTGGTGACCCGGGTGGAATTTCAATATTCCTACCCCCCATTTAACATCCAGAATCTGTAAAACATTAGTTGAAGTAGAACTAAATTTTCTGACTCTCATACCGTGCTTCAAATATATAATAACCTAATTCTTCTAAATTCATAACACACGCTACCATTATTAAAGTTATAAACGAAATCTCCGCGCCCGTTTCAGTGACAATTAATTTATGTGGAATAAACTAAGTTTCATCCCGAACAATGTAGGACGCGTCGTATCATGAGTTTATTTGCTTACATTGTATTGCGTCGGATATGAATAAATTATAGTGACGCTCTAATAATAAATTTATTATAACTCGGCGTATAAGGTAATAAATTGTATGTTCCATCTGTACAGGCGCCTGGCTGATATATCAAGGCTGACTCGAGGTGTCGTCGTTATGATATGTGATGTGAAATATGCCAAGCTTGTTATGAAGGAAGCTAAACGGCTCAATATGCTTGATGGACACTTCTTCTGGCTCTGGATAGACGCATCTAGAGAGTTCGATGTATTCCATATTGCCAATAGAACAGATGAGGAGCGAACCGAGTTTCACTCTGATTCAGAATTGGATGAAGCAGTTGACTTCGATAGCTTTGAACGCATCAAGAAAGACAATGCTGACAATAATCCTATAAAAGAAACGAAAATTGTCAATACGCTATTGAAGAAAATTTCAAGGGAAACGCTCACGAAAGACGGTGTTTACGTAATGAATAGCTCTAGAAACTCCTTTGTTCGTCGTATTATTAGAAACATAAATAAGACAGAAACGCACATTAATAATAGTAATAAAACATTGTATGTAAATTTTAGTCAATCTTACGAGAGTAGCAATATTAGTTCGGAGAGTGTAAGGAAATATAATGTACATAACAAAGGCGTTGAAACTTCTAAAATTGAAAAGGATTCTGTCGAGAGGACGATGTCCTTCCTCGATCGAAATAAAAGTAGGCAAACTAGTTCTAGTAAATTAAAAAATGAATCATTCAATAAATATGTAAATAGTATAAGTGTACGTGGTCTGTATGAGAGTAACGATGTTATAAAGGCAGATAGCAGAGAGGATCTTATAAATAGATTATCGTTTTCAAGTGATATTAGTGAATTCATAATGAATCCCACGGTGCATACTTCTACAATGAGTAATGTTAGAAATATGGCTAAGAAGAGAAATGATCCTTTAGTGGAGGATCAGATTATGGACGAACCAATCGGATTAAAAGACAACGTGACGCATACTTTGAATAGCTTACCTGTAGGATTGTTGGCGCTACATCCGGAACCAATGAATATTGGTGAGTTTAATAAAATAAATATATGTATTTTAACTAGATTACAAAATTACAAAATTTGAGCGACTTTCCAACGATCACTACCAAATTCTGTTAGTCCTTCAGCAGATCTAGATAGAGAATCAAACAACCTGCACTTTTGGAATTTTGGAAGCAAGATAAATCGGTTTAACATTAAAATGAATATTTAGGAACAGAATAAAGTAATAGAAAGTCTCAAAATTAAAGATAAAAAAAAACAAGATTTTCTGCTTAGACTAAGGCAATATATAGGATATGTTATATCTTTTTTTTATGATAGAGAAGGACAGAGAAGTATGGGGTTCTCTTGATGGCGCTGTCAACCTATTTTGGCTTTGGTTATTCGGGAATCTGAAAACCTTTATACTGTTCAACATAAACGAAGTCTCGGACACTTCTAGTTCTATATATTCTATAGCTAGTATTTTTTTGGTAGTAGAAATAAATTATTCTAAAATGATGTAATTTTATCAACAGATAAAGTGTTTGTACGCGCTACAGTACGCTTGGTGGTCGGAGCTTTGCGCAGGGTCTTACTTGCTTGTGATGCCTGGTCTGCACAAGCTCAATTTTTAAGTGACGCGACTGCATCGTGTTGGGAGGAACCTAGCGATGCTGCATCAGGATTCTCACTGGAATTAGTAAGGTATTTATAACATAGCATAAAACAAAGTCGCTTTTTCTGTCCCTGTTCTTATCTTTAAAACTACGCAACGAATTTTAATGCGGGTTTTTTGTAATAGATAGTGTGATTTAAGAGGAAGGTGTTTATATATAACGTTAACAGTTTTTCTGTGGCGTATTGATCATCATTGCACACGTGCGAAGCCGGGGCGGGTCGCTAGTATAAATCTCGTTGTTCGGCGTTCAGTTAGTACAATGCTAGAAAGAAATAAATGTAATTATAATAAAATAATTAATATGAAAATATTAAATTTAATTGGAAGAAAAATTATACCAAAAGAGTCATACTTCAACATAAGTTGCAGTACAGTTATGCTACTACACTGATTTTGAACAAAACCCTACTGTTAGTCTGTTCAACAGCACTCATACAACCATTTAATATTTAAGATAACATTGATTTATTAGCGGGAAACATTGTTAAATAATGTACTAGTAACTATCGCAATCATTGGCATAAATAAGAGGGATGAATTTTAGTAAACATCCTATCGGTTCAAATGGCGAACTAAATTGGGTAAACTTTGGCCTTGACCCCGCATTTTGGATGCTATATTTCATTTAACAAATTTTTATTTATGTAATCTCTATATCACCCTTAATTGATCTAAAACTATTTTTTTTTACAAAAGCAACTAAACTATTTCTCATAAACTTATTATTATACAAATTTAAACTAATCAAGATACCAACCTGCAATCAGGTCTATCAAATTTATATACAAAATTTGAAATCGATTTAGTCGTTTTATTATCACTCGTCATCGATTGTTTGTTTTTTCAATAAAAATATTCTCTATAAATAATTATTTATTATATATTTGAGAATTACCCCCACCGATAACGATCGCGTGACAATTCAGAGATTTTTTCTCGTCTTATATTGAGGAACGTTGCTCGTGATGGATCATTTTGGGTTGCGGCGTCCATTATGACGATAATGAGGACTTTTTTTCCAGCCCTTGATCCGAATTTCATTATATCGTTTGACATTAACTCGTATATCATTTGTAACGCAATTATCTTTAACAAAAATGGACAATGATAACTTTTTGTCACTAATAAAAATACTAAAACATGTTCAACACTAAGTTTGGAAATGTCTATACTATCTTTACAGTCCTTGGGGTGAACTCACAAATACATTAATATTTAATTTTGAATTACGAACGATAGTTTAAGATCATATATTTTTGTTCTATTTGTATGTTATATTGATTAGTTTTTTAAGATCTCTGTCGCATTGGATTCCATCTGTCATGACAGTGCATATATGTAAATATTAAATAAATAAATACATTTCCGTAAGGTGAGTCCGACTCCGAGGAGGTCCGACTTTGAAATTTATCAAAGAACCTCTATTTTCTGCCCTGTACACAAAATAAATATAATGGTCTAAATTTGTTTTTTCGTCAAAAGTATTCCTGAAATATTTCCGACTGAAATATGCATTTACTTTTTTATGAAATTCTTGAACGTTGAACGAAATACCTATCTTAGAATCTTGTAATAGAATCAATATATTGAATCTCAAAACAGTACTCAAAGAGTATAGTAGACACAGAGTGGAAAATAGAATGGTAACAACCATGGAGCATCATCGTAAAAACAAATTGACTGGTCCGTGAACGACACAAGATTACTTTTACGTCCCTCTATCTGTAGCCGAAGGATGCCCGGTTTATATCAAAGCCCTGCATTACACAATAAAACCTTGTTTTCGGAAAGTACGTAGGTGTAATTAAATACCCCTGTTACTTTACGGATTTTCTTAAAATTATTAGTGTTATTAATATTATTATGTTTTAAATAAGCAACCGCAAAAAAAAAACTTTTTTAAACATTTTTCACGTGACACAAAAGGCTCCTGATTGGCCAAGCTTATGACGACGTCACTTGCTTATAAACAGTGATATAACGCCTTGCTTCCTAATAAAGAAATTTTAACTCATTTTATCAATCGCTGTTAAGACGTGTACAAATGCTTGTAGATTGTAGATAATATGATGGAATTCATTAGCCGTATTACAGCGTTATTTCGAAGTATTTAGGCCACGGTGGAACTACGGCTTTTGCACAGCATCCGAAACGGGCCGAAGTTACAAGAAATTCTAAATAAGTTACTAAAATTCTATTTTAACAAAAGTAGTAAAAGTAATCTTCTTTACATTTGTTCCTGCAATTTGTGTACACTTTCAATTCTAAGTAAAGGTGAATATGTAAATTTTCGCGCATAATAATGTCGCTAGGACTCTGAAAATGTTTTCTATCTACGGTAAACATGTAAACTAGATAAGTTAGAATGTTTTAGAAATATATTGATATTCGAGAATTAATTTAATGACTGACGCCAAATTAGTTATACAACATTGAAATAAAACATTTTAACGGTTTAAAACGCGATATATTAGTTTTACTTATTTGAAAATGATTTTTAACTTCGGCCCGACGTTTCGGATGCTTTGCAGCAGCCGTGGTTACGGGGAGACTAATATATCGCGTTTTAAACCGTTAAAGTGTTTTATGTAAATGTGTACTACTCGCGTAAACTATAGACAGTATTTAGTTATACAACACGAAATATCAAATTGGCGTCCTGTGTTAACCGTTTCGGGCATAGGGCGAACACATTTCTGTGTCCGTTTTACAGATTTTTTTACAGGCAAGTAGGGCATCTACTTGCCTGTAAAAAATCTTAAGAATCTTTTGCTTTTGCGAATGAATTTAAAGTCTAAAACTGCGAATAGCATAGCAGTTATATAACACCAAATAAAATATAAGGTTGAAAAACTGGAAAAAACAATGGCGTACTTACTCGTATGCACTCATTTAGACGAAAAATGTGCCGATGTGAAATTTTAGATGGCGTACGAAGCAACAAAACAACAAAAACGCAATGGATGTGAAGCAATAATTGTTAGTGCTGGAAAAAGAAGGGTATTTTCCGACCTCAGCGGATAGCTAACGAGAGATCTAGTAAAGAACTTTTCTGGTTTTAACAAATTGTTAAATTGTTTTATTTATGACTAGCTGTGCCCCGCGTCTTGTCTGCGTGGAATAGTGACTTGGGGTAGAATTTTCAATTATTTAGGCTGTTTATTAATTTATGTAATTGCGCATTTATCGCAGCCAATCTATGTTGTAAGTGCTACTTTGCCGCAACACTCTCACCTCACATCACTTCTACTCTAACTTTCACTCTCACTCCCACTCCTAATCCCAAAAATCCAAAGAAGAAAGTTTCATTGTTCTAGCTTCAACACCACGAAATTTCCATACAAACTTTCACCTCCTCCCCCTAACCTCTTACAACCCCCTTTTCGCAATAGAAAGTATGTTCCTATGTTCTTTCTCAGGGTCTAGACCATCTGTGTACCAAATTTCATTCAAATCCGTTCAGTAGGTTTGGCGTGACAGACAGACAGACAAAGTTACTTTCACATTTATAATAATAAAAAAAAACACTGAGTGGAGGGTGCATGGTAAATTTTACAAATTTTATATATCTTCCTGCATTATGTGTTTAATACACAACGGTAAAGATAGTTTGAACACGAAACATAAACTGACGATAAGCCTCTCTAAGTACAATCTCGAAATCTATTACAAACTAAGATATAATAAAAAAAAATCTATTTATAGCTATTTACATTTATTTTTTTGTGATTAATTACACATGAAGTGAAAAAAAGAACAAATCGATTTCCAAACACTCCCATCTTTTAGTGTCGGGTAGAGAAACAAACGTACATATATACTGAAAAATCAAAGGTCAATATTGGAATGATTGTAAACCAGCAATACAAAGAGTCTCTAAGTACCGTTAGCAATTTTTCATTCTCGATTTCGTATTCAATAAAATATTCAGAAAGGTTTGCTTGTTTTGCCATGAAAGTTTGACTTTGTAACTTAACAATAGAATGTGGTTTTAGGTGAATATAATTTTGGAACATGTGAAGTTGATGAATGAATTTTGAATGAGTAGCGAAATTCTTGTGTGTTTAGTAAGAACGAGCTTTATGTTATATAGAGGCATTATTTCCTTTGTCTTAAATTTAAGATTTCACTGCTAAATCTTGCATGACGTCATACAATGGGCGGGTTAAATAACATAGGCATTAATAATGATATAAAACACACAGCGTTCCGTGCTTTTGCTCTAATCCACATCTCATCTGCCACATCGATCGAATTAGTCTCTGCGGTTCAAGTCCTGCTCCTATTGTAAAGTTATTAAACAAAAGTCGTATTTGAATTGATATAATGTTCAAAAACGTGTGAAAATATTAAAGTTATCAAATATAAAAAAATTACAATACAGAAATAAAAATCAGGCATTCCTTATTTCCCATATCATCTAGTTCCCAAATTGTAGGTACCGTACCCTTTTGGAGCCGTACAAACTTTCCAGAGTTCTCTATACAGCACCATAGCTAGCTCGTGGTGATTTTAGTGTACTAATCTTGGTATCATCAATTCGAATGCAGAAGAAGTTATAGTCTATAAAATATTGCACTGCGATTAATAGGAGCGAAGAAATAGTGGGAAATGTGGTAAAAAACGGGGCAAAACTATTTATCCGGTTTCCGATGCGCACGCTGGGAACACAGTTCCAGATACCCAAAAATATGTATGAAAGAATGATTTCTCTTTCTGTGATTTAAAAAAATGTGCACGACAGTCTATGTTTATCTTTCATGATTAACTTGCAAGAAAGACGGGACGCCAAAGACGTCGTCGGTTAAAAAAAATATGATGCCCAAAAATAACTAATCTACGCAGACAATGTCGCTAACACAGCTAGTCAGTGATACAATTTAATTTTTTTCCATATAAAATATAAATGAACAAAGCCATGACTAATTAAATCTTTCACTCCACTTGTGAAGGATCTAGTGCTAAAAGTGAATTAATGATAAGCGCGTTCGTCAAACGAGAAATAAAAGTTTAGCTTCGGATTTCCTTCCTTGGCGACACGTATTAATTGCATCTTTTGTACTAGTTGGCAGTTAGATTGGTTCACTTCGAAACTCCGCGGTTGATAAATTCTTTCGCCAATAATCTATTTCAAAACAACTATTTTAAAGTTTGGCATCGTATTGTGCTAGATGGTCCTAATAGAATACTGATTTGTTTACTTTGTGTTTTAACAGTTTTAAAACTCTATATTTATTTATTTTGTATCTGAAGTTTTACAATGTGAATAAAATGCTTTTGATTATAAATACATGTTTTTAGTTACAATTCGGATTCGTTCAGATATGTAAACCGTTAGTGTTTTTTTAAACGTGTACTACTCGCGTAAACTAGCCGTGGTCACGGGGAGAGTCTCCCCGTGACCACGGCTAGTTTACCCATCCGAAACGTCGGGCCGAAGTTAAAAATTATTTTCAAATAAGTTTAACTAATATATCGCGTTTTAAACCGTTAAAGTGTTTTATTTAAAAGTATTTAATGTATTAATTGTGTTTTACTCAGATACAAGTCTTTTATTTACTTTTATTTTAATACGCATTTAACATGAAAATAAATACATATCTATAAAACTTAAAATACAATCTACTATTTTAAAACCTACCTCCCTATAACTTACCTACCTGCTCTCAATAAAACTATTGTTTTACAAACTTCGTTTTTACTTAAACATCAGTTTATTTCTTCAAATGCATGCTTACGTGTCCGTAATGCACGCATGGCTAAGTCAATGGACAGTTTGAATAAAGAACTTTACATTATCATAAATCGGGGGGAAACGGAAGTGAATGTTGGCTGACAGCCAGCCCGCGGGGCTGACTCGACACAATGACTGGACCATCGACATGACTTGACGCCAATAGTTTTTTCAGTTTATCACGAAATTAGGCCGGCTTTATAGGTCAGGTCGGGAATGCTTTGTGAAACAGATTAGGCACTTTTTCCTCGGAATTTATTGAATAGCGCCCGTGAGGAGATTGCACGGTACAGTCGATTTTTTCATCGCTTCTTTCTTACATAGTTATACTAAAAAGCCTATAACAAGTGACACCTAGCTTGCTCTATATACGGCGTAAGGCAGACATATATCTGTGTCTATTTTTGTGTTCCTTTTTATTTATAGCCATGAAGTTTTTCTCACCTTTGGCGTTTGAAACAATTGTGTTTCCCCGAAATTCGAACCCTGACTCTCTTAAAAAAAGGAACAAGATTTTAAATTATTTTTAATTAGGTATATAATTTTTTTTATAATTTTGTCCCGATTTTTTAAGTGTTACCCTTTAGTTTTTACCAACTTGTGGATAACATGTGTTTTTATGTTAACAAAAGTTACGACTATGGTACGTTTTGAGAATACATTTTTGAAAAATATATATTTAATTTCTGGAAAGCAAAGGTACCCAAGCAAATAGAAAAATGACTGATCCATTTCATACACAAACGACTCGATCTATAAATTTAATGTAACGCAACATGTAGCATAAAAGTTTAGAGTATGCGAAGCGTGTTTTGCTCTCTTGGGCATAGACAATAACTACTTCAATACGTCAGATGCAGGCGACTGCATAAAGTATTGTACCGAGCTCTTTCATACATTCAGCTTTTGATATTATTTCGTCGACAGAAGCGTAACTGTCGAAACAAAAACCAAAAGTTGGTTGCCTACGACCGCACGAGCAAACTTTGCTCCACCGAGTATAAACTACTATATTATATTAGTTCGTACGGTTAGCAGAAACACGTTTAGTATTTATTATTTATTTATTTTATTTAACTTCTTTAACATTATAATTTTGTTTTACAATAATTAAACCGGTAAAGAAACCGTCTTACGGTTTATGATAGTAAATTACGGTTTATGAGTAAATTTGTCACTGGATAGAATGTGGAATAGGCCCTGTTAAATTGTACTACGATGCGCTGTCGACCCATTTTAGCTTTGTGCAAATATATCCACAGACATTTCACATACATCCACAGACATTTCACATACATCCACAGGCGGTTCGTGGTCCAGATGGAATTTTCATATACTATTAAAGGTTAAATAAGTGTTCGGAAAAAAAAAATGTTTTTCAAGTTGGACCTGTTGGGATTCCGACCCCTGAACGTGAACCATACTTTACTATCATGCCCACTAGAGCATTTACACGGCTTCGCTTAGGGAGTAAATAAATCTTTATTTATTTATTTTATTCTTTTTAATTTATTTGTGCAAAAACAAAAATACGTGCAGAAAAGGACTGCAGAGAAAGATAATTTTCATAAAAAAAACTAATATTTGTATTGATTTCCCTAGCGAACCGTCTTTCTACATAAGCAGTCTACATCCCAATTCATCCTTTGAAATTACTACATTTTTATTATTTCGTCTCTTTTTAGGGTATGAACTAAAATAACTTTAAGCTAAATGAAATTAACTTTTTATTTTTTATTTCTACATGCAAAGGTTGCCTGGATAAAATCGCCATAGGCGATAAGGCCGCCTTTGCACAGACATGTTTTATTTTGTATACATAATTCTAAGTATCTATCTATAATTCTTATATCTATGTTTGTGCAATAAAGAGTTATTATTATTATTACAAAAGAAAGATAACAAACAAATACCTGCGCATATATAATATTAATATATATTATTTGGCATATTAAAGATTAGCTGTAGCCGCATAGAATAGTTATTTGCGCATCCAAGTTTCGTTCCATCATAATAGTTCCTGAGATTATCGCGTTCAAACAAACTTTTCAGCTTTATATATTAGTATAGATAGGAATACTTTTCCTACGCGATAAGGAAACATACAAAATGTTACGATACGTACAATTTCCTAACGTTACGACTTTTCTCACGTGTAAAAAGGATTTAAAAGACGGACATATCTCTCGTACCCACAGTAAAAGCAAAGTTACCTCGACAACTAGCCTGTTACTTAAATCCATTTATTCTTAACTTCACAGATTCTAACCGTACCGGTAATGTTAGCTAACTTTCCTTGGTCTTCAAGTTATTCACAATGTATTTTGGGACTGCTTTGTTATCAAAAGTGACCGCCTCATTGGTCTTGTATTGTGTTTTATTATGGACTAGCTTTGCTCGCGATTTGGCTGTGTGGAATCGTTATTTTGCTTTTTAAATTAAAGTCTTGTAAGTTAATCTTAAAAGATAGATCTATACACTATACTGTTGCGCATTTTTTTTTAGACTATTTAAAGAAATATAATTCTTTCATACAGGTTTTTGGTTCCTTGAACCGATTTCGCAACGCACGCAGCAGCAACCTTAAAGATGAATAATTTTCCCCGTCTTTTCCACTTTTTTCCCTCTGATCGTCTTCCGCGATTAACGGTCTATCTAACACAAAAAATATTTTTTCGAACCGATAGTTCCTGAGATTAGCGCATTCAAACAAACAAATTAACTCTTTTCTTCTTTATAATATTAGTATAAATATTAAAGATAGATTTTATTCGAATCCCGGTTAATATAATCTCGGACTGGGTGGGCACAAAAGAGTTTCTGTCTGTAATTAGGACTTTCCAACTACAACAACTTTTCCAGTAATCAATCACTTTCTTTTGCAGAGAAATGCGGATCGCTACGGCGTCAGCCCTCGCTGGTGTCACGGAGCGACCTGAACGCTCTTTAATGGCTCAGTTCTCATTTTTGAACCTAGTGCCTAATATAGAAGGCAATATGTGGAGGAGAGTTGGTCACATCACCGGCCGGACAGTTAAACTTCACACCATCGTTTGGCCTGGCGGACGGCTGGTCGCTCAAGGTCAATCTACTGGTGCTCGCACGGTATTTCGTGTTGTTACAGCATTGGCTCCACCTTTTGTAATGGAAGGGGAATTAGATGAAGATGGCCAATGTTTAAGAGGTCTCCCCTGCCACCGTCCACAAACATCTGACCGAGACAACCTCACTCTGGCATTCGTTCCCGGCAGAGAAAGTGAACCGAGAGAAGATTTCTTTTTACCCACCTCAAAGCCAAATACAGTAATGAAAATGGCTACACATTGTTGTTATGGGTTTGCCATGGACTTATTAGAAAATATCGCTCAAGAACTAGAATTCGATTTTCACCTATACATAGTAGAAGACGGTCTCTACGGCTCAAGGAGATTTTTGAGGCCGTTTCAAAAGCTACACGAAAACGTGAATATCGTCAACGAATACGTGGCTAACGGTGAGAATTATCGCTCGCAGTACAGAAAGGGATACGAAAGGTTGGATAATGACATGTTGGATAAATTCGACGAAGATTCAGCTGAAGATCGCGAGAAATGGGACGGTGTTATCGGGGATTTGGTATCTGGCGCTGCTCACATGTCATTCGCGGCTCTGAGCGTTTCGTCCGCCCGGGCTGAAGTAGTCGACTTCAGTCAGCCATATTTTTTCAGCGGAATCTCAATACTGGCTGCACCGAATCAACGGGCGGATATACCGTTACTCGCATTTTTATTGCCCTTTTCGCCGGAGTTATGGGTCGCAATCTTTACGTCCCTGAATATTACAGCTATCGCAGTTGCGATATATGAATGGCTGTCACCGTTCGGCTTGAACCCTTGGGGGCGGCAGCGATCGAAGAATTTTAGCATTTCAAGCGCTTTGTGGGTCATGTGGGGTCTGCTGTGTGGTCATTTGGTGGCGTTTAAAGCACCAAAGAGTTGGCCGAATAAATTCCTCATCAATGTCTGGGGTGGGTTCTCTGTTATATTTGTCGCTAGTTATACAGCCAACATAGCTGCTCTGATAGCGGGATTGTTTTTTCATAACGCTGTGGACGAATTTCAAGGAAGAAGTAACGTAAGTGGGTTAAACCCTTAGTTTCTTGTAATAAAAATGGTGCTATTATGAGCAGCTCAGTAATATAAATATTTCTTGCAGTGGCTGACGCTGAGAGTCGGTGCCCCAAGGTCATCAGCAGCAGAATATTATGTACAAAGGAATAATCCTGAATTAGCGCAGCAGATGCGTCGTTATGGTTTACAAGACATCGAAGAAGGAATTGAGAGGTTAAGGTATGTATCAAATAAAGACAAGAAAATAAAAAATACAAACTTAAACGAGTTATAATACATATATACAAAACATCGATTTATAAGTTAGCGATAAATGATTATGTTTCTAAATGCATGAAAACAATTAAGGTTTTTATAATACATATTAATAGTTTGAAAGTAAACGAGTAATTTTATAAACTACATTGTTTTACCATTTTAATGTGATAATATAACAAAAATTACACGATTGTAATCATTAAATTTGTCTCGGAATAACTTAAAATAGTTTAGTTTGAAAATATTATCACTTAGCTAATCAACTTATTTCATTTGTTTATTTTAGTTAGTTCTCGTGGGTAACTTCGTAATAACTTTTGAGTTTAAATAAAACACTTTAACGGTTTAAAACGCGATATATTAGTTAAACTTAATTGGAAATGATTTTTAACTTCGGCTCGACGTTGCAAACCGTTTAAGTGTTTTATTTAAATGAGTACTACTCGCGTAAACTATAGACAGTATTTAACTTTTGAGTTCTTAAGGATATAACCAAAAAGAAGTATTTTATTTCTTCACATTGAAATTGTTTGTTACAGAAACGGCACTTTGGACCTTCTAATTGCGGACACTCCAGTCCTAGATTATTATCGAGCCACAGACCATGGATGCAAACTCCAGCGAGTTGGAGATCACTCGCTTACCGATGATACTTACGCTATCGGAATGGCAAAGGGGTTTCCTTTGAAGGTATGCATCTCACATATACCGTATCTGATTAATAGCATAATTCTGTATTATACTACCTTGTAAACTACTGGTCGCTTCCATGCAATGATTAAATATAATGTCTAGAGCTCTGTAAGAGACGCTGGGTTTGAATGGCGCGGAAACGTTTTTTTTAAATCTAAAATTTAATTTATATAATACCATCTGTAGTTAATGCGATAAGTACACATTTCAATAAAACACTTTTAGCGGTACAGCTTAGTACGGTGAGGCATCCGAAAGTTGGGCCGTAGTCAAAATAATTTTTAAATAAATTTACCTAAGTTTCGCGTCTTAAACCGTTAAAACGGTTTTATTTAACACATACTACCAAGTTCAATAACATGTTAAAAGTATAATATTTCATCCGCATTATGTTTAGTGAAATTTCATTTCCCCTTGTGACGCATGGGTCGAACACATTTTTCTGATCGGTTTTTTATTTTCAGGCAAGTAGTTGATCAGACTTCTGTGCCCAGCCCGACCGAAACAATTTACTGTTTCCCCGGGAACCCAGGACCCCTCGCGTCTTAACGCAATGCTAGGCAACACGTTTAACCATTAGCTACAGAAGCGGCATTGTGTTTCAAACACGAATAATAATTTAACGAATAAATTATTTTTAGATTTCCTTTATTCCAATTTCTTATTAAAGAAATCGTGTCTTCTCATCTTCTATATATAAAGCTCGGTAATAATGACCTTACGTAACCTCCCCGAAATACCTACATCGGCGAAGACGTACCCGTAAGTAGGCCGGCTGAGTGACAGCGGAACGACTTAGGATTTTAGGAGCGCGAGATTGATGACGTACGCAAGCTCGCTAATGTTATGATCGATAGCCGATGTCATACAGTTTACATTCGCCGGAATACCTCATTTTTATCTTAACGACGACGTAACTTTTCTTATCAGACACGTATTAAGACGCACTTATTCGCACATTACAGTTTCTGAACTTTGTACCAGATGGAATCGTAAATCAAGTGAAGGAAACAGTGACAAGGATTTATAATTTTACTTATGTAATATATTTGCTATTGGTCTGCATAAATAAATATATTTATTAAATCGAATCTTTAGATAGATACACTATCGCAACAATTTTGTTAATAAATATGTACTTCTTAAGACGAATACAAAATTCTTACATAAAACATAAAAATAATATTGTATAACTAGCTGTGTGAGTGACTTCGTCCGCGTAGTTATTTTGGGCATCCAAATTTGTTTTTGTCTTCATCTTTATAAATTTAAACTGCTATCCGATATCGACAGCGTCCCGTCGCTTGCAAGCCGTCATTCGGATCCAGTCGTTTTTGCAAGTAAATCTTCAAAGATAGACATAGTGCCGCGGACATTTTTTTAGACCATTTAATAAGGAATCATTCTTTCAAACATATTCCCTGGGTATCTTGAACTCTTTAGCTCTGTATATTAGTATAGATAAGGTTAATTTTTAATTTTTAACTTGTCTGGTAAATTCCCATAATATTATAACTATCAACTTCGTTCGCAATCAGTTTATTACCCGGTTTTGCACCACATTTATTCTGACTTTTGTATTTTTCACCTTGCATGGAGAAAGGACTGACGTGATGTTTTAACACTTAATGTAATTAATTCTAGCTGTGCTCGCGGCCTTGTCTGGGTAAAATAATTATTATGAGCATCGTATTTTTTTTGATAACAACCTCTTCAGCTTTATAAATTTATAGCTGTTACCCACGAGGTCCTCCGCAACCGATTGGTATTGTGATTATCTTAAAATATAGACATAAAATATTTTAAATATTTAAACAAAAATTATTATTTCATACATATTTTTGGTTTCTTGAATCGTTTACGCGGAACGGAAGCCCTCAAATATGAAAAAGTTCTCCCGTTTTTTCTACATTTCCTTCCGTTTTCTTCGCTCCCATTACTGATTGTTACAGCCTTATGTTATATATAGCCATCATCTTCGATAAATGGTCCTACCAGCACAAAATAATTTTTCAATTCGAACTAGTTTCTGAGGTTAACACGTTCAAATAAATAATCAAATAAACCATTCAGCTTTATAACATAAGTATAGATTTAAAAATCGAAAATAAATTGAAAAATTTTCGACTAGAGCAGGACTTGAACAGGACTCGAACTCGTGTTTCGGACGATTTTTATATTATATAGTGCGTTCATGTGCAATAATAACATGTAAAAAAATAATAAACTTTTCATAAGTATAGATTTTAAATACTGTCTATAGTTTACGGGTTACAGTCTCCCCGTGACCACGGCTGCTGCAAAGCATGCGAAACGTCGGGCCGAAGTTAAAAATCATTTTCAAATAAGTTTAACTAATATATCGCGTTTTATACCGTTAAAGAGTTTTATTTAATAGATATAGATAAGGACAGATAGTTAGGGCTTCAGTTGATGAAAGGTGAAGTACCCCATATAATAAATGTGTTAACGACCTATTTTGAATTCGGATAGGATTAAATCTAGTTCTTACATATCATTATTAATATAAATAAAATATATTAATACTAAATCCTATTTCAGGATAGCATATCCGCTGTGATAGCGAAGTACTCGTCCAACGGTTATATGGATATCTTAACTGAAAAGTGGTACGGGGCTCTGCCCTGTTTCAAGCTAAGTCCTGATTACGGAATTCAACCGAAGCCTCTAGGTAAGTACTGTACTTAGATCTTTAGAAAAGGAAGAAGATTTAATGGTAAAGGAAGAATTTATGCGCCAAAGTTGACATATCTAATTTGGCAACATTGTGACAACTCGTGGTACTGTGTTGTAATTGGTCTATAGAAACTTTACCTGTACTATCTAATTGACTTTAAAATGTATAAGGACTAAGCATTGTATACTTAACAAGAGGTTAAATTCGTCACACTTATATCTTTGCTTTTTAACTTATATTAAAATGTTATTACTAGTAATATCTCAATATGAGATAAGTAAGTAATTTAATTAGATTAATGCTTGATAGGATTCAACACATTTATTGTAGTAAAAATAATCTACACATTTATTCGTTGTAAATCAATCCGTAGAATTTGTGTATGTCGTTTGTTATTTTAAATGTTGTTTAGTTTAAATACATTTTAACAACATACCTTGTTTATATTAGAAATATGACTTAGTTATTTTTTATTACTATTTTTTTTATATATTTTAACTACGACTAGACGTTTACAACAGACAGCACATGGACTGTTGCAAAGCATTAGAAATGTTTTTTTTTCAATTGTACCCGTATAATTTTTAATAATGCAATCATTAGCACGAGAGTAATCCAAACCCAGGATCAACGCGAACTAAGCTATTGCTCTACTTAAGCTCTCGTGCCTCATTCGTTATAACTAGATTATATAAGTGTTATTTAAAGCTTTACATTTATTTGTTTTGAGAATAGATATTATTCAGTACACCAAGAAGCTCGTTTGAATACACTTAAACTCTTGTAAAAGCTTCCCGCTTTAAAATATTTCCTTTGAATAATCTACAAAAAGTGTCATAAAAGGTGAATGACCCATATCTTGTTAGTGCATTACGCGTTTATAACTTTTAACTAACCGTTTAATTAGCTTTTAGTGTAGTTTTATAAAGCTTTCGAGGTTGAAGTATCTAACTTTAGTAATTGAATTACAAATATTCGTATAATTAGTAGTAGTTGTTATTTTTCAGGTTCGCTTAGTTCGTTATTCAGTTTGTTACTGTTGACGTATGTAAAGTTGTTCTATTCCCATGGCTGCGGCAAATCTGTAGCAGATGACAGATTGTTAGATTTTGAAGATAACTCTATTTTACACGGAAAAGAAAACATTGCGACGGTTTCCTCAACAAAGAACACGTATTGAAATGTATATAAATAATTTTGTACGACTTGGAATCGAACCACCGACCTCACAAATACGAAAACGAGGACTACTAATAGACTAAAATGACAGTGAGATTGTTATTTCGTAAATATAGTTAATTTTGTGTTAAAAGGTTTAAAGTTGTCTGAAAATAAGTAATGCATAGTATTTACTATTTAAGAACAGAAATTGTATTACTATGCATTTTATTACGGAGACTGTACCTTAAAATCAATTTAAATATGTATAACAATTAAACGGTTTAAAACGCGATATATATTTTATGACTCCCCGTGTTCACGGCTGCTGCGAAGCATCCGAAACGTTGGGCAGAAGTTAAAATAATTTTTAAGTAAGTTTAACTAATATTTATCGCGTTTTAAACCGTTAAAGTGTTTTATTCACATGTATATAAACGACATCTTCATAAATTTCACAAATATCCAGAAATAAATGAGAATATCACGAATGGAACTGTTCCATTAAACTAATTTATGTATTACTTGGCCATATCTTATTTTATTAACATAGAAAATTCCGTTTGAACTGTAGCGTCCGGAATGAATCTACATCTGTTTCTTAGGCGGAAATTTCATTAGGATTTATCACCACCCTTACGTTAATCCATCCCTCGGCACGCAACGCGGGGGGATGATATTACCACGAGTCAACCTTAGAGATTAAACATGGAATTTATCGCTGAAAAAATAAGGCGGACTGTGTTTACCTCGCGCCAGAAATAAGACTGAGACAAAAGAAAAATTAAAAGTGAAATAGGGCGCTCTGCTTTTTACTGTATTCTTAGATATAAATTACCTGCTAATAATAATTTAGGAGAGTTGGTTGGAATTAAAGATAATTACTTTAATTTTTATTTTCTCTGTAGCTTAAAGTACTGTACTTTAAAAGGTAGCAAATAATATTAAAATTACTTGAAACAATTCTTTGTTTATTGATAATGTTTTTTCTTCAGTTTTTACTATTATCGGAAATCTATATGTTGACATATTTTATAAATTTTACGTCTGTAGTTACTTCATGTAAGTCGCAAATAGCAAGGCTAGTGGTGCCTTGCAAATCACTATTAATATATATGTATTAGTAATAGTTGCAATGCTAACAAAGTATAGCTAATAACGAACGTGTCGTGAGTGCGATCCCCACCGAGTTCAAAATTTTTCTAAACAATTTATAATTTTTGTCGTGTATCGTGAGTAACAGCTTGATTTTATAAAGATGAAGACACGCATAGAACATATTTTGAAGACCTAAAATACTGTCGAAACGTCGGGCTGAAGTTAAAAATAATTTTCAAATGAGTTTAACTAATATTGCGTTTTAAACCGTTAAAGTGTTTTATTTAAAGGCCTGAAATAACTATTCTACGCGTACGAAGTCGCTGACAAAGCTAGTATAAAATAAAACGGTTACCTTACTTGGTATTCCCGAACTAATAACATTTCCCCCTGAAGCTACTTCTCATCCGACATCCCGGCTTTTAACATGAATTGAGAATGCATTACCAACGTTTTATGGTAATATCGGGTTTATTATAATGTTTCGAACCGACTGCACACTCTGTACGGAATGAGTTTTAAGAGTCTCGTAATATTGATTTAAGTACTCTTCAGAGTTTGTAGCGCGCACTATGATACTGACAGAAGAGATTATATTAAACGTAGAAATATATAAAGGAGCGGAAATTCAATTTTCCTGGCAAGTTTGGTTTTTGATTTCTCTACATCGTGTCAGCGAATTTGTCGACGTAAAATAGTTATTATGGGTATCAAAAATTGTTTTTGCAAACCTCTAAATCTTTATAATTTTAAGCTACCGATGCAATGCATCGGTTGCGACCCGTCGCTCGCGACCCGTCATTCGGGTCCCGTTGTTCTTGCAAGTTAATCTTAAAAGATAGACATATAGTGTCACTGACATTATTTTAGATGATTTAAAGAGGCATAATTTTTTCATGCAAATTTTTTGGGGGTCTTGAACCACTTTCGCAGCATACGCATCTGAAACCCGCAGAGATGAAAATTTTCCCCCGTTTTGTTCACATATCCCGCTGTATTTTCGCTTCTATTAGTCACAACGCGATGTTTTATAGCCTAACCAATACAAAAAGAATTCTTCATTTCGAACACGTAGGTCCTTAGTTATGTAACCAAAAATTAAAACATAATAATATTTTAAACAAAAATTATTGCGCGAAAGCTGACAGGTGTAGGAGTTAAAAATATTCCACGATGACGTGTATCGGGTATCGTATCGGGTATGTGTGTATAGGGTATCGTAGTTCAAACGGTAGCTCAGCACAAAACGCTGTTGATGCCGGGACAAGTCTCAACTTGATTTTTTTTTTCAATTAAAAAAAATGGATTTAAGGAAAATAATCTTAATTGAAACAACGATTGAAAAGCAATCAAAGAGTCTAACAGTAGTTAAATACATATTTTAAGACAAAAATATTCGTAACATATCTTTTTCTTGGCTGTAGCGCGTAGTAAGAGAAGTCTAGTGTTAAGTTTTTCATGTACTCGGAAAATTTGAAAACTGAATTTTCTCCGCATGACAACATTCTAATAAAACTTGCTAGACGCTATACGTGCGACAATCTGATTCGAGATTAGTACGTGCTCCTGTATGTATGGAAAAGAGACTTAACTGGGTCATAGAACCACTAGGTACCGAAGTTTGCTGTCTGAGGTTCAGCGTCACTCGTTATAGCGTGTACTAGACAATTACCTGACTGCTTAATGAACAAAGTCTTGAACTTTCTACCTGCGCGGGTTAATGTTCGCTGCTAAGTTGGATAATGTGTTACTGTTAAAATTGCAAGTAAATTTAACGGAAGTGTTTTAAATTTAATGAAAATATATAATTACGCCATTTTTAATTTCTCCTTGAGACAATAAAAAAAAACTCTCTGAAATACATCGATCATAGTTTTACCGTTAATCTTCATTTACAATTTATTCATATTAATCAAAGGTTGTTTATATCAGGTCCGTATTTGGCAGTAAAAGCCTTCTTCAATTTCATAAAAGCTTATATAAATTAAAAAGTTATTTAAGATTAAATACGAGACGAACCGAGCGTGACTCGAACTTACGACCTACCTTGGAATGCTTCAGGTGATTTTGTTCCAATTTAAAATATATGTAAACACATTTCAACCTTTACAAAAGTCTGAATAGTAGTTGAGAAGATACGTACTTACTATAAGCCAAGGTACGTAATTTACATTATGGCTAATAATCAACGGCTCCAACATGATACTAATACATAAATTAAAAAATTATTTACATTGAAAATCAATATCGACACGAACGGGTCTTAAACTAGCATTCACAGCGTACTTTGCTGCTGCTCTCACCAATTGAGCTACCACGTCACGTGGCCCGGTAGCGCAATTAGTTATGACATCTGTAAGATAATAAAATTAAATGGTTTCTCATAATTCTAAAACAAGTTGGTAATTGAAAAACTTGGATATTTAGAATATAGAGAAATAAGAATAGAAGTAATAGGAAATTTAGGAAAGGCGTCAAGTTTCGCTAGGCGTTAAGTTTTTTTCGGCTCAATCTGTGAATTACTGATGGTATGTTATGTGTAAGAAAATGCTTGTCCTCCTCTGTCATGAAAAAGTTAGCAATATAAGCAATTAAAACCTTCATAATGAAACCTCAAAAATAGCTTATATTTACGCCTTTAATCAACGGTCAACACACCCTAAGGCCCATTTCACTCCGCGTCGTTGCTGTAATCAATTCCGAATAAGCTATTACGATATAACCACTCAATTTGGCAACCGCCCGATTAGACGAACGTGCTATAACAACTACTGGACTTGATCCCGGTCGTTAAATACGGCCTATTTGTTATTTAATAGAATTTCGGTGTATATTTGGGATCCGATTTATAGATTTTTAGTATTCCAATAGGTAGAGACGTAGTTAATACCAAACATCTCTGCAGGATATTTGAAGGCTTAGCATTTTGGGTATAGCGCTTATATATATAGAGCTTATATACTTTTAAAATAATAATACCTTTTTTATAAATATTAGTATATTTAATTAATTACATTATTTTCCGTATTCTGTAGGTTTAAATAAAACAATTTTAATGGATCAAAACTTGAAATGTTTATTTTTAATGTAAATACTTGGCAGAAAGAAACAAAATGGTAATTTATTTTCAGGGGTGGCTGCGGTCGCGGGTGTGTTCATCCTCTTGGGGGTTGGTATGATCGTCGGTTGTTTAATATTGATATTAGAGCACCTCTTCTACAAGTATACTCTACCGATATTACGTCACCAGCCCAAAGGGACAGTCTGGAGGAGCAGGAATATAATGTTTTTCAGTCAGGTTTGTAAACATCTTAAATAATCTAATACATACAATTCTCGTGTCACAATGTTACGAATACGCCTCCGAACCGGCTGAACCGATTTTAATAAAATTTAATGCAGTAGGATTGATTGGTTCATAACATTTCTTTTAATGCGGCATTAAAAATTCTTACAACCCAAAATTTTCATCCCTCTATCATCAATCCCTATTTTTTAATAATTTTAGTAAATAAATTATTTTTTTAGCAAATGGTTGTTTATAAAATTCTCGCCTTCACTATAAATTAGATTTGAATAAAGATTAGAAGTTTATAGACAATTAAAAAAATATATATATATATTAATACTATATGAGACATTTTGAACCCTAATGTACTACGACGACGTTTAAATCGAATAAAATAGTTCTTGAGAACTAATAATATTTTATTTTACTTCGAAAGTTTATTTTTAAATAAATTTAATCTCTATTTGCCGGCCATAAAACAGTGCAGCGGCCGCAGTGCTCTTAATTAAAAATATATATTGCTTATTAGATAATAATTAATATAACTACAATTGCTTATACTCGTATTTTTTGTTGGTTCAGGCATCAAATAACTATAAGACAATATCGAGATAAAACACTGTTAACGGTTTAAAATGAGATGTATTAGTTAACTTACTTCCGTCCCACCGTGCCCACGCCTCGGCTGCGAAGTATCCGAGACGTCGGGCAGTTGTTGATTTGTTTAGTTTACTAATACATTTACCGTTTTAAACCGTTAAAAGTGTGCTTCTCGCGTAAACAACTGACAATACAGACTTAATATATTAAATTACTTAGTAATGGTGTTAATAGTAAAGCTAAATTTATAGACAAACCCTACACCGTCTATATTGGCACTTGGCAAATAGAAGTTGAGTTTAAGGCTAGTTATATGTCTAAGTAGCAATGTGATAATGAAACGAATTTTAATTAGGTATCGTCTTAACTATTATAAACTTTAAGACTAAAATTTAGACTGTTTAATTTAGACAATTGTATAAAAAATCTATTTAGATTGGTTTTTTCAACCGATTGATACATGTATACTATTGGCTTCACTCGGGTGCAATGCTGATACTAAATATACTACAGAAACACTATGAACGTTGCATACAAAAACCTTCCCCTCGAATCACTATAACTATTAAAAAAACGGACAAAAATCAGTTGCGTACTTTTAAAGATTTAAGCGTACATATGGACAGAAAAAGAGGCTTTCTTTTGTACTATGTAGAGAAGATATTACGTACTTTTAAATAAAACACTTTAACGGTTTAAAACGCGATATATTAGTTAAACTTATTTGAAAATGATTTTAAACTTCGGCCCGACGTTTCGGATGCTTTGCAGCAGCCGTGGTCACGGGGATCATTTTCATATAAGTTAAACTAATATATCGCGTTTTAAACCGTTAAAGTGTTTTATTTAAATGTGTACTACTCGCGTAAACTATAGACAGTATATTATGTACTATCAAAACACGACACTGGCACTGTACAATAAAACAAGATATTTTTTTCCAATAATTTATTTTTGTAAATCGTCGCTAGCTCTTAGACTACAACATTTCATCTTGTTTCAGAAACTGTACAGATTTATAAACTGCGTGGAATTGGTGTCTCCTCATCACGCCGCTCGGGAGCTCGTGAACACTATTCGTCAAGGGCATTTTACCTCGCTGTTTCAAAAAAGCGTGAAAAGGGTAAACTCTGTTTTCATTTCTCGGGTTTCACGTTTCCCGTTTGTTAAATTCGTTCGGTTTTTCAAACGACAGTTCACTATAACGATACATTTCGAGAACTAAATAGACAAATTTATTTTTCTGTCTTTTTTAGATTTCATAATACGTAAATGAAATAGTTTGTGTTTCAACTTGCTAAACTTGTTTTATTATAACGTAACCTATGTTTATTACACAAGTATTCAGTAAAAAAATTGCTGTCAACATTTTTAATTATGAAATTTTTTTAATGATAGTGTACAAACAAGTTGGGGTTTAATTGATGGGAGGTGATTTACCCCAGCCTATAGCATCTAAACAAGTTGCTCTGTGGACCCACTTTGGCTTCTGATATTCGGATATCCACAGAACGAAACCGAAACGCGATTAAGCTTCACGGCTTTTTCATCGCATCGCTTTGGCATCGTTCGTGACCCGGGCAAAATTTCTATATTCCTACCACTCATTTAATATCCAGACTTCCAGACGGAGTTCAACATGTTTCAAACAAATTATAAATTGAAAATTTGAAACATACATTGCTACCATTCGATTTACGATCCCATCAAAATATCACTGTGTGTACCAGTAGAAAAACTTGTAATAGAGTATTTTTAATGTTTGAACGTATAAAAACGCGGGATGGATTTATATAGAATTTTATTATTTTTTACATGTTAGCACATGGAGGCACTATATAATTTAAAAATCGAAAATAAATTGAAAAAAGACTCGGTAGCTAACTTGGTAGAGCAACAGCACGGAACGCTGACGATGCCGGTTCAAGTCCTGCCCGAGGCGAAAATTTTTTCAATTTATTTTCGATTTTTAAATTATATGGGAGATACTTGTGAACCATGCGTCCAATTAACTCAAGAAGTCTGTTAAGCAAATGCAATAGGAAGTACATTTGTTTCAGAAGGAACACGAACAGCGTAGGCGAAGAAAAAGTAAAGCTCAGTTCTTTGAAATGATACAAGAAATAAGAAGGTAGGATACGTTGAAATGTATTTTATAAATCTTATGTATTATTGTGTGGGATCTATTAATATAAACAGGATTAAAACACAAAAAAGAAAAACAAAACTACAACCAAACCATATCAAGAATAAGGACTAACATTGCGATATAGCTCTAAAGATTCTTAATACAATGAACGTCTGAATTAAAATAGGCAATAATTAGAAATTAGGGTTTTAATTTTAAAGTCAGTCAGTCAAATATAGTCCGTCTTATTGGATAACTTTTTGCGTCATTTATTAAAACTGCTTCGGTAGCTTATGCACTAGAGTAGAGCATATTTTAAAGACGATAAAAATATTTTGTTAGTTCACCATACTCGGGTATACAAACGAAAATGTTATTTATCATATCGCTTTCCTCAGAGTCCAACAAGGGAGAGACCATTCGTTGGATTCCATTAAGGAGAACGTCGCAATCGAAACTTCGGAAGTATCAGAAGAAATTACTGAGTCCAAGTTCTTGTCGCCATCGCCGGATGTTTCTAGTCGTTCACCACGACAAACCAGGTCGCCCCGACAGCTCCGCTCCCCTCGCAGTCGAAGAAAAAGGTCTACTAGTGGGCTCAACGTTAGGCGATTCAGTACGGACTCAGTACTTGGGTCAGATTCAGCGTCAATATACGAACGAACCAGTCTCAATATAGGCAGAAGATTAAGCCGTGACGTCAGCTTCCTAACAAACTCCCCACCAGACATAAACACTAGGTTAAGAACACCCTCCCCAATGGTCCGTCGATCCGAAGGTTCCTCTACAAGATCATACCAAGATGTTTCGGAGAAGAATCAAAATTACCTTTCAATAGATCCACCGAGCCATCGCGCCAGCATCGAAATAATGGTCTCGCAAGAAAGTGACCTTCCACCTGCCCCGCCGTACCCAAAAGTATCTCCTAACGGTAAATCAGAATTGTCCATGTTATCTGAAGACGAGCTGTTGCGACTATGGCGTAGTTCTGATAGGGAAGTGAAAGAGGCGTTGCTGGCTGCGCTGCAGGAGAAAAGAACGAATTTAGATCCAAAGCTAGATCCGGGCTGAACGGAACGTTGAATTGATCTGGAAAGGAAATCATTTGTAGAAATCACTTCGTACTCCTTATCGTCGCACGCGTCGCGGGCAACATGGAGTGTAGTTTGGAGACCGCACCGAGTAGAGTTGTGCCTTTAAATTGTTTGATGCGGATACATCTCACGGATGTTAGTTTAACTGTCAGTGTTCATTTTAGTGTCTTGTTAATATCGTATTCAAAACGCTGCCTTACAGTTAAGTATAATTTACTCATAGTTATCGGCATCAAATAATTTAGGGTGCGAGTATTTTTAAACTTAACGTCCATTATATTAATTTAAGGAAAATTTTGATAGTTACGAGTGAAACTTAGAATTGTGTAATTTGTAAGTGCGTTGCGACGCACGCGTACAGGCTAAGACCATTTTAAAGTGCTTTATATTGAATGCGTTAGGATTTTTTTTTATGTCGAAGTTGTATAAAATCTAATAAGTGTAAATTATCTATGTGGAATATTCAGCAATGAATTAAAATTATGTGTATTGGTATCTATTAAAAATATTGTAGATTATTGATAGACGTATTGATAGACGTAAGTTTTTAATTAATTTTTCGTGTGAAATGCGTAAGTTTTTGTCGTAAATAGCTATCGGAACAGGTAAACTTAAAATTAAATCGTTCATATATCATTTACATAGAGGAATAATGTTTAATGTGGTGAAAATACTGCCAATCTGGACTAGATATTAGGGTATATAGAATTTGACTTGTAACATAAGAATTACACGCCCCTTGGAATATTTCTAATCGTCTATTAAATCTATACTTTTCTTTGTCCAATTTTGTTAATTTTTATGATCCGTACCCAGAAGATAAATAACTCTATTACTTAGGCTTTGTTGTTTGTCACTCAGCGTTGCCTTGAAAAACCGCGATAGCTAGCTAGTGAGTTAAAATTTAACACAAATTGTTTGTTTCAGCCGCCGATATCAAATCAAATATGAAAACCAATATAAAACAAGTGTTTAAATTGTAATCCCATATAATAAACTCCACTTTTAATATTCAATAACGACACCACGACTTATGACATGGTATTTGTTATGGTAAAAGGTTGCAAAATGAAATCTCTGCAGTTGATACCTAGTCACTGGTACGGAACTATTCGTGCAGTTCCGACTCGTAATTGCTCGTTTTTTTATCTCCCACTTATATGTACGTAATAATTTAACAACATTTGGACCAAAGAAATAATTTCTCAAAATTGTACTTAAATTTCTATTGGATGGGATTCATCTAGTGATATTGAAAGTCTTATGCATTTCTCTTTAAAATATACATAGGAATACGTTTAGCGTATAATAGAAATAGTTAATATTGTAATATAGAAAAAAAGTTGGCTCTGTAAAATTTTATTTTTAACTATTAATTAGTATTTGCAGAAACACAGATATTTGACAAATTTATTGTTTCTTAATCTGCGATAACTAGAATAGAATACACACAAAGTAACTGAATAGAGATTGTTTTAAATTATTTTTAAAGCAATAAGAAGAATATTTGAATCTAACAATAATAATGGATAGTATGCTTCTGTATGACTTTATAATAAATATATATACAAATAAAATAAGTTTTATTGGTTATATATTATTTCTTTACTTAGTCCGTCTTCACAAATGACGCGTTTAACAATTTAAATCCTCAAGACTTTGTAGTTCAAATTACCTTCACTAATTACTCGATATTTACGTCCTCTACACTGAGATTATAAAACTATTGTTTTAAAAGCTATGATTAAATAAAATAGTAACCCGTAAAATATAGTACTTAGATCTCTTATCATAAATAAGTATATTCTATTGTAAATAAATATCACATTAAAATAATGATCATTTATTTATCACAGGGTTATGCGAATATTTTTAAAGGATTCCGTGTCACTTACTAGCGATATTGTTAAATTATATGAAGCTTCAAGAGAACAAATAATTCAATATTAAAAGATGTAGTCAATATAAATAAACGATCTGTTTCCGGTTTGATGTAACCCTATGCTCCGTATAATTGAAAAGATACAAAATGTCAATGCTAACTATATCGTGTAAAAATTATTATGTATTAAAAATATTCATCTATTTTCATTTGTCACCATTTGGATTAATGGATTTTCCTGGTATAGAATGAGAATATATTATTTGTGCCAAGTTATTGTGTTTTATTTTTATCACCTGTTGTTTAACAGCCTTTGTGAGACGAGAACCGAGAGATTTTGGATTCGAATCCTGGGAAGAAATAAATACGAATTTTTCATCCTACAAGTTAATTTGTCAAAAGATCGTTACAGTGCTCATAATTTCCCAGCTCTGCTGTTGTGAATTTTAAACTGTAGTTTACGCGAGTAGTACACATTAAAAAACACTTAATGGTTTAAAACGCGAAATGTAATAGATAAACTTATTCACAAATGATTTTAACTACGGCCTAATGTTTCGGATGCTCATCAACCATGGTCACGAGGAGACTAAAGATGGATTATGTCCCTAATATCAAAGTCTAACTGCTACGCTAGCGCTATCTGTTCCTTCGTATTTGGCGAAACTGGTCTGTCTTTGCAAAATTATTTAACTGTTTCCCGGTATGCTGTTTGTGAAATCTAAAGTTTTTAATGTGGGATCCCAGGTGCTTGATAACTTGAGGACGACCACTCTACTGAAATATAAAATTTTACCTATATATTTCGTGTTTTAAACCGATAAAAGTTATTTTTTTATAATAAATAAAACAGTTTGTAATAAATTACTATACATTTAATATTATAAGTATATAAATCAATATTTTGAACCAATAAAGCGAGACTAATATAATAAAACAACACAAAACCTTGAAGGTTAAAAGTGCATTCATAATTAAAACGAATCGACATTGGTCGTTTAGTTGGAACAAATTTGACATGAGGCTAATAATAGCAAGTTAGAGACACGTTTTGTTTGCTATATTTGCAATTAAATTAAGTTAAACATGCGAGTCGATGTGATATTGTTTCTGGCGCTGGTAAGATTCTGTCTCCCGCGAAAGTGTTATTGGAATTCGTGTCCTTATACCCATTTCTCCAGTAAAACGCCCTACAATTTAATAAGAGGTGATATCCGAGACAATGCTGTTTATCTTGAGGGTGAGCTATTCATCAAATACTTCTGGGGTCTAGGAATTAACAATTATAAAACCAAGAACGTGTGCGCCCGAATTAGGGAATCACATATCTCAGCTTTATAAATTACTAGCTGTGCCAGTGACTCTGCCCGCGTAGGCATAAAAATTTGTTTTCGCAACCTTATCTTATAGTATAATATTATAGTGTCGCACATTTTTTTTGGATTATTTAAGGAGGAATAATTCTTTCATAAATATTTTTTGCGTTTTTTCAACCGTTTTCGCAGCATACGGATTGGAAACCCCCTAAGATGAATTTTGTTTCCACATTTCCCGCTGTTTCTTCGCTCTTAGTAGTCACATCGCGTTGCCTATAGCCTTTCTAGATAAATGGTTCAACCAACACAAACTGTTCAATTCGAATCAGTGGTTCCTGAAATTAGCGCGATCAAACAAATAAACAAACTAAATACTGACTATAGTTTACGCGAGTAGTACACATTTATATAAAACACTTTAACGGTTTAAAACGCGATTTATTTGTTAAACTTATATATCGCGTTTTAAACCGTTAAAGTGTTTTATTTAAATAAACAAACTCTTCAGCTTTATTATTATAAATATACAACACAGGTAATACCGACTTTGTCATCGATGCTTTCTTATCCAAACTAATCTTAATAGTGGATGTATTTAAGATACTTTAGAACAAACCTGTAGTTTCAAAGATTCTTGTTGAAATTACGACAAGTAGACGTTTTTTATAGGCGAAAACGACACGTAATCTATTATGCTTGTATTGATATAATTTCAACCAGTTAATGAATACAATTAAACAATTATCAACCGAATGAACATAACGCGCTATTGTTCAACTTACCAGTACTTTCATATAACCACCGAATTTATGAGTTAATTCATGCATTTTTTTGTATAATATATCCATCTCTTATATGTAAAACTTCTTCGCCTCCGGTGCATAGGATGATTTCTGTCTGTTTTTTGGCTGTTCACTGATCGCTGCACCGATGCCCGTCCGAAACAATATATTCTTTCCTCGGGGTTCAAATCCGAGACCTCTCGCGCTTAACGCAATGCTAGGCAACACGTATAACCATTTAGCTACAGAGGCGGTCTTTTATGTGGGTATAATTATTTATTGCATATTTTCATAATGTAAGTAGATTAATGTGAGTATTATTTTTTATTGTTTAAATATTTATGCATTATATATAGATAGTATAATTAATATTTACTTGAATAAAAAAACATCTCCACAACACGAGACGTGGTTAACTGTTTTGTGTATTAACTAAGCGTTCAATCTATGCACCCAATAAAAATATACTAAAACTCTTGCATAAATTAAACACTTTTAACAGTTTAAAACAGTAACTACGGTTCGAAACATCGGAACGTAGTTATGATAGTTTATAAGTTTAACTCATCCATTGAAAACGTTAAGTATTTTATTTAAATAAGTACTACTCGACAACAATCAGTACATAATACTTTTGTCTATAGCTTGTGAAACAGTCAGCATTTGGGCGCTAGTAAGACACGGGAAGCGAAGTCCTGGCGGTCAGTTCGCTGTCAACATGAAAGCCGCAATGTCTCTGAAAGATTACGTCACAGCTAATTACAAAGCCGGAACCAGCCCCCTCTGCGCACAAGACGTCGAGAACTTGGACAATTGGGAGGTGGACGGGGAATTGTTCGGTAAACTTCACGCGTTAATGGCCGAAGGCTTTCAAGAAATGTTCGGGATCGGAAAAAGGCTTAGGGAGACTTTCCCGAAACTATTTAGCAATATAGAAAGCGGTAGATACACTATTCGATCAGCGGCCGGACATTGGGTGGAGGATGGCGTTGACTCCTTCGCTGCTGGACTGTCGAACAATAGGAGTTTGAGGACTGAACGCCTCGTGCCAACCAATGATAGTTTAGCGGTAATCATTAAAATTGACATTTCACAATTGTTTTTTGTGTGCAGGCAAAGTCAAAAACACCTAGTAACTAGTTACACTTATGAACGTCACATCAGTTAAAAACTGAAGACTCTAAATTTACATGTATTACCAGTTCTTAAATCAAGGGCGTAGAACAAACGAGAAGAATTGATAGAACGGGTTTCTCCAAATCTGAAGCATTTTTAAATGATTTTATTTAGCTCGTCTTTGGGTCAAAATTAGAAATTGAAATTTAAGCACCTTTCCGTTGTCATATTGATATGAAATTTGGTACACACATTTAATTTAGATGACAATACAATATAGAAAATCAATAACATTATAAATCCAAAATGGCCGCCGATTCAAAATGGTGAATTACATAGTTTTCCTTTACCTCCTCGATATGGGTATTAAATGAATGGACTACACTAGTAAAACACGATGCTTATTAAATTTTAAATTTTATGTAGCTTACAGCGCACAAAAAATAAAAACATGGTAGCTCAATTGGTAAGAGCTGGAGAAATCTGTGCATTTCGGCTCGAGTCCCGCCCGTGTTGCATTTTTTAAATATCTTTAATTTATAACAAATATTGTTGTCCCGGAGTTCAAACCTACCTATGGCTCAGAATCTACCTAATAACTGTTGAGTTAAAATTATGAAAATAATATTTAAGTATTGATTATTCGAAAACACAAAACACCCACCCAGGGTTTACGGGATTTCGCAAACATGATGAATCTTCATATCGAAGAATTAATTGGTGGTGATGGTGCCGTCCACACGAGAAGAGAAGAGGTGAGAAGAGGTCTTCTCGCTCATGTCGGCCGAACAGCCCGATAGCCCGAATGGCCGTGAAAGCCTTATAAAAATTTATGATGAATTTTATTTAAATTCTATTACAATGTTTTACGATTTTAAGCTTTATTTGACACACTACGAATAATACAATGTTTTAATCTGTTTGCAGGTTTATTTCAATTGCCCCAAATATTTTACAAAAGTGAGAACGAATGATAAAACATATAGTGAATATCATAAGTATCTTTCATCTTCGGAATTTGTATCAGTAAGTAATTTAAATATATATCTATCTAAATAGTCTATGTATTCATTAAGACGGCTTCGTTGGTCTAATGGTAGCAATATATTTCTAAAACATGTTAAGATTCTTTGAAAAATCTTGATATTAAATGAGTGGTAGGAATATTAAAATTCCGTCAGGGTCACGAACCACAATCCACTGATGAAAAAGCTGTGGCGTTTAATCGTGATTCTGTCTACATATTCAAACCTGTAATAATATAATATAGGAAAAAACATTTTTTTTGTGTTATTCTCTGTCGTAAAAAATGTATTCCGTCAAGGCGTAGTTAAAAAAAAAGGATTAGTTAGTAAAATTTATTTTGCGTTTTAAACCGTTAAAAGTGTCTTATTTGAATCTATTACAGTTAAAAAGAAGTGTCGAGAAACGCGTCGGGACAAAGCTAAATAACGACAACGTCACAGCGCTTTACGACCTCTGCCGATATACGTGGTCAGGTATTAACAACGAACGGAGTCCCTGGTGCGCTCTGTTCTCAACAGAGGACCTCAAGGTCATGGAGTTCGCTGGAGACCTTCGACACTACTATAGAAACGGCTACGGAAACAAAATAAACGTACAAATAGGCCAGATCGTTATCTCTGATTTGTATCGGAGATTTCTGAGCGTCAGAAACGGGCTAGATCAGAAGATTACAGCGTACTTCAGCCACGCTACTATGCTGGATATGGTTGTATCTGCGCTTGGAATTTATAAGGACAAAATGGCGTTGGTTGCGGATACTCGTAACGAGGACAGGCTGTGGAAGACGAGCAAATCGTCGGTCGTCGCTGGAAACCTGATTGCGACGCTCCATAAGTATGATTTAATTATTTCTTATTTTGACAAATTCATTTTGTTTTTACAAACATTATTCACGTGAAATCCTACTAATATTATAAACGTGAAAGTTTGTATGTAAAATATGACATTAAGTGTGAAGTAACTAAAAAACCTACTTTTCTGTCAGCTATTCTGGCGTGCGCTGCCATAAACGTTAGTTACACATAATTATGTAATGTATAATATGATAGACATCATTTAGTTTAAATGCGCGATACTACGTAATCCTAATAAAGTAATAACACTTTACACAAGTTATATGCGCTAAATGAAATAATTTCAAACACGTTAAAATGCAAACTATATATTTATAGCGACAAGTTCACGTCGAGAGATGATTTATGATATTATTACTTGAGCTACGTTACTAAAGTTTTAGTATACATCCTTAATCTTATCTAGCACTAAATATAGACAGTGTTAATGTGGGTGAATGTTAATATGAATACTTATTTAGTAGTGAAATCCCGTTTCCCCCTTGTGGGGCATGGGGCGAACACACTTTGGTGTTCGTTTCACTGATCCGTTCTTTAACAGGCAAGTAGTTGATCAGACTTCTGTGCCCTGTCCGACCGAAACATTTTTTTTGTGTTCCTGGGATTCGAACCCAGGACCTCTCAGTTTTAACGCAATGCTAGGCAATATGTTTACAGGTTTATAATGTTAGGAGTAGATATAGTAATGATCGCGTTTCAACTTTTATAGAATTAGTTTTCATTCCGCCAATTTGTGTAAGCGTATACAAATAAACTATTGTACGTAAATAAATAAAGCACTTTAACGGTTTAAAACGCGATATATATTAGTTACATTTGTTTGAAAATTTGTTTTACTATGGCCCGACGTTAAAGACGTTTTGCATGGCTATGTATCGCGTTTTAAACCGTTAAAGTGTTTTTTTTAATTGTGTACTACTCGTGTAACCTACAGAGGGCGAGTATTTAAATAACATGTATACTAATAAAATAATAAAAACACACTCGAAAACAGATGACCATTAGTATTCATATTATACTTTAAGATAACGAAGCCACTTTTAAGCGACAATCGATTTAAAAGGCATTTGAAGATCAAAGCCCGGTCATTAACCTTTGATTAATTTCAGATGTGCAGATGGGTACAAAGTGGCATTTTATTTAAATGAGGAGCTTCTGACATCTATGTGTGGTAATGGAGTTTGCGCTTGGAATGAATTTGAGGAGATATTCATGCCTTTTTTGAATACGACACGAGACGTGTGCTATTGAAACAATTGTATTACGAACTTTTAACGGTTGAAATGCGATATATTAGTTTATTTTCACTACGGCCCGACGTTTCAGATGCTTCGCAGCAGTAGTGGTCACTGGAGGACTGGTGATAAAAGGTGTCCTGAGTCCTAGCAATATTCCTTCATCGTAGTTTTTATTTGGAGCTTCTCCAATAAAACGTCGAACCGTAGCTGAAATAAATGAAAAATACATTAACTACATATTTTTTTACCGAAGTGTATATAAATTGATTGTACAACACTCAAAAAAATACATGCGCTTATTTCTGCAAAATAAGATTATATATAGATATACACAAACAAATACACAAACTATATATATATATATATATATATATATATATATATATATATATATATATATATATATATATATATATATATATATATATATATGTCGCATCCGGGTCATGCGTACGGGACGTCAACAACACAAACGTCACTTTGACGTGTACAGACGGCAACGGGGGAGGGCGACGATAATAAAAAGGAGCGCATTTGTTGAGTCGGGGTTCAGTTATCGTTGGATCGTCATAAGTCACCTGCCAAGGAACTGACTATTATTATTTCTTACCCGGAATCCTGCTGATTCCGACAAAGAGTGACCAAGAAGACAACGTAATTCCGACATCAGAAGTGGGATGTAGCTCGAACGCCTACGTGCTGCAAATAAATAAGTCGTGAAGCAGTCGCGAACGCTGAACGAACTCTGCTTTCCTGATTTTGATCCAGACCGACGTGATATGGACGTACGTGCTTACTGATGGGATGACTTGGGAATATTTTAAGCAGCTTTTCACTGTAAGGACACTACGCATCCAGCTGCCCGAAGCGGAAGAGCAAAGGGCGGAAGCAACGGTAGCGGCGGTGCTTCCAGTACAGAGAAGCGGGTCGACCTGTGCAATATCGATGCGCCCGCTGGATATTTGTACCACAATGGATGCCTGGACCAACGCTTTGCTGTGTCATCAACTAGCTCTCGTTAAAGTTGTGAATTAGAGATAAATTATACTGTCGGATGTCGGAATGGTTGTCCAAGGCTTGTTCGGACACCGGCACGGCTATCCATGTGTTGTCGTATACTGGAAGGAGGTTGTCCAGGACTTGTTCGGACACTGACCAATTTATCCATGTGTTGTCGGATGCTTGAAGGAGGTTGTCCATGACGTGTTCGGACACTGACCTAGTTATCCTAGTGTTGTCGGATGCTGTGAGGTTGTCCATGGCTTGTTCGGACACTGACCTAGTTATCCTAGTGTTGTCGGATGCTGTGAGGTTGTCCATGGCTTGTTCGGACACTGGTCCAGTTATCCTGGTATAGTAGCTTTATGGATGACGATGTGTGTTTGAATGCGTGTGTAAGTCACAGGGATGACTGTATTAATTGACCACTGAACTGATGACTATTGGTAAAACTGTCAAAGGGTTGACTTAAGAGTCTGTGCGGTCACAGGGATGACCTACAGTTACAATTGATGTTTAGATGGGTTGTGTTGTTATTAATAATGTTTCTGATTTTTTTTAGGTGTATCGTGTTTTGTGACACAAGAGATGGTTTTGTAAGAACGATCCTGATTAGGTCAGATATGGCCGAGCAAGAATGATGCTGCGTGCAATTTAATTCCTTTCAGACTAGCCACGAGGACGTGGCTCACTCAGGATGGCCGTGTCGCATCCGGGTCATGCGTACGGGACGTCAACAACACAAACGTCACTTTGACGTGTACAGACGGCAACGGGGGAGGGCGACGATAATAAAAAGGAGCGCATTTGTTGAGTCGGGGTTCAGTTATCGTTGGATCGTCATAAGTCACCTGCCAAGGAACTGACTATTATTATTTCTTACCCGGAATCCTGCTGATTCCGACAAAGAGTGACCAAGAAGACAACGTAATTCCGACATATATATATATATATATAATAGTTTGTGTATTTGTTATTCAGACCAGTAAACTGCATATTTTTTACTTTCGACAAAATCTGTATAGGTGTTTTGTGTATCTTGGTTTCCTCACATTTTTTTTTCTACTGCGAACGTGTTATTTCATTTTTTATTAGGTCTAATCTGTTTCACAGCTTGCTAGACTGTAAGTTATTATTGTTACCCTGGTATAAGATCCCAGATCCTCTTGCGCATGGTTTGAAAGTCAATACAGGATTAGTAACATATAGTGACAGAGTTTTCGTAAGGCTACGTAGTGCAGTGCACCAGGGCCCTGAAGCTTAGAGGGTCCCTAAGATCAGGTCTCAACTCATCTTTGAAAGAATAAACATTTAAGAAAAAAACATTAAATGTACTTTTTGTTCCTCTTCATAATTTTGGAGGTTTATATAAGTTCAAGTTACGCGGAAAGAGGGAACGAGGGCCCTAATTTTATTTGTACCAGGGCCCCGGTCGACCCAACTACGCTACTGGCGGGATATATAAACAGATTTACAACAGGACCAAAATTTTATATCTTTTATTTACCTTGAGAGCCACAAATTTACCTTACCAACCTGCCTTTATTAGCTACCTAAAGTTTAATTCTCTATTCTTGTTTTTGTTATTAAGCATTCATATACCTGTAGATAATTCAAACATCATTTTAAGAACACACTCTTTGAGATACGGACCTGTATATTTCAAGTAATGAAGACCTTTTTGACTTTGATTATCGTTTGTTTGTTCGTTGATTGTTTTGGAAATTATTGTTACTGGAATACTGGTTGTCCTTACAAATATTTATCTAGCGATACCCCCTACAATTTAGTGCGCGGTGATATTCGCGACTCCGTAGTTAAATTAAAAGGTAAGTGATCTCTATTTTTATAGCAGCCTCTTTATTTATATTTCGATTTACTTGTGGCCTTGCCTTGCTTAGTCTTGGTATTTGAAAAATGCTCAACAACTTTTAGACTACAGAAAATAGATCTTCATGTTATGTTCATTCGTTTTTTTTTTCTTTTTTTTTGTTTGTAGTCAACAAAAAAAAGAAAAAAAAGTTATTTATGAGGCTAAGCACATTTGTAATCATTTTGTAAATGTTTTATTTCCTTGAATTATTATTGAATTAATTTTTTTAATATGACACAGGGAGAAATCGAATCTGCTCTGTCTGTCTTTCTTATCTTTTATGTCAATTCTTAATCCTTTAATGAATGAAATTACACTTTAGACCCTACAATTTAATAATACAGTACTTTTTTTCCACGAGAGCTTATTAACGTCGTAATTAAAAATAAAATAAGTATTATAATATCGTATCAAAAAACAAAACAATATATATATATATCTACATTGTTACATATATATTTTAGATTGTGAGCCAGTAAGCATATGGGGAATCTACAAGCATGGAAAACGCTACCCCGACGAGCATACAGGAAAAGCCATGGTAGACGCTATTTCATTCAGGAAAGACATATTGTCTAGTTACGATAAAGGTCGCAGTTCATTATGCGCCCAAGATATGGAGAATTTACGCAATTGGCAATTTGATGATAAAATTTTCGGAGACAAAAGAGATGTAACGGATGAGGGCCGAAATGAAATGATGTTTCTTGGAAAACGGTTGAGGGAAGCGTTTCCTGATATCCTCAATGGAATAAACAAAAGCACTTCGACCTTTAGATCGTCAAAAGGAATGTGGTTGGAGAATAGCATCAAAGAATTTGTACGTGGATTGGGAAATAAAAATGTGGTTATCGACCCACCTAAAACTGACTACGATTATATCGCTGTAAGTTATTTATCCTTACTTTTAAATGAAAATTTATATAAGTTTGTTTAACGCATTATCTGCACTCAACACTTAAGCTCTTATACAGTAACTGAAACAACTATGACGGTTTAAAACGTGTAACTTCGTAAAGGATTAAAATAATCTTTTGCAGTTAATTATTGTTGTCTGTACTTTGTTTTTGTAGTTAAAATTGAAATAAATGACATTTAACGGTTTATAATCTCCTGCGACCCAGGCTATAAGTAAGTCTTCGATGCCTTGCATCTAGCGGGGTCGTTTATTAACTTCGCATCTCAAAACGTTAAAAATGTTTTATTTAATAACGCTTTCATAAATATTACTTATATGAATACTTTTTTGCAGCCTTACTTGAATTGTGAGAAAACATTCGAAAGTAACCCGGAAGTGTTTGTCGAAATCAATAAATATCTAAACACGTCTGATTACCTTGTTGTGAGTATTTTATTCTAACGTAAGTAGTGGTACTTGGTAAATCTATTTTCTCAAACATGCTCGTGCTTAGCATATAAATTAGTATTTCAAATCATACCTGTCGGGTAATTTAAAAATAGAAGGATCTTCCACTTCTAAAAATGGCGCCTAACGAGGTAACTTATCAAAGGTTTAATTTAAATTTCAAACTGGCTTCCACATGGAAAGCAGTTTAGTGGAAAAAAATACTAGTGCGCGTAAAAAACTATTGTTTTGTCAACTTCGTCATTGGTTTCAAAGTACTACTACATAGTTTTAACTTCCGTGCATTATTTGATAAAAGTACTGTACACGTTTTGGCCGCAACTAGGCATTGATGGACTTACGTATGTGACACGCGTTCGTCCACCAATGCCGCTATAGCCGGTCGCGGCAGTAATGTACTATTAATCAACGATAGAATGGTAACGGCCATAAAAAGAAGAATAAAAAAAAATACGAAGAACCATAGCCAAGTTGATAAAAGCGAAATAATGAATAGTTATCAAATTTCTCGTCTATTGAATTAATATGAGTAGACAGTATCCTCTGTTTTATCGTTCCCAAACATACAGCCATTCCAAATGTAATTTGTAGGTTAAGGATCGCATACATCGTCGAACCGGGATGGATTACGTGCTCACAGACGACAATGTTACAGCATTGTATAATTTATGTCGTTACACGTGGTCCGGAATTGACGGCAAAGCGAGTCCTTGGTGCGCTCTATTCACGAAAGACGACCTCCAAGTCCTGGAGTACGAAGGAGACTTGAGAACGTACTACGAAAACGGCTACGGTTCAAGATTTAACGAGATATTTGGAGGAATGCCGTTAGCAGATCTATGGAGTAATTTTTATAGAGCTAGAAATGGAGGGGATAAGAAAATGGTAGGGTATGTTACGCATGGCAGGAGTTTAGAACAAATTTACACAGCGCTAGGGTTGTTTAAGGATGTTATTCCTCTGTCAGCTGGGAAGAGAGATCCAGATAGGAATTGGAGGAGTAGCGTCATGTCTGCTTTCGGTGGTAATTTCGTCGCTGTTTTAAACAAGTGAGTTAATTTTGTTCATTCACGTTCTTTTTATCCAGTTATATTATTTTTAAGGAAAATAAAAAAAGAACAAAGGCAAATGTATTTCCCCTGTATATATACGGCGAACCCATGTCCGTTTCACGTATATGTTTTCTCCACGGGCAAATAGTCCGATCAAAATATTTCTTGTTTCTTCGGGATTCGATCCCGACACATGTTACATAAGTCTTATAAGATGACTTAGGAAATAGATTTTACATAATATTAAACAGCATAGATATAATTATCAGAAATTTAATTTAAAAACTTGTTTCTTAATTCTGTATAGAAGAGGCAAATACAATTATATGTCTGTTTGGCTGTGTGCGCACTCGGCGTAACAGTAAAATTTTTACAACATAGAAATAATTAAGTCATCCAGTTACAATAAAATAAATTATGATGTTTTCTTTGAAACGCAATGAACTATAAGAAAATATATATTAAATACTGTCTATAGTTTACGCGAGTAGTACACATTTAAATAAAACACTTTAACTAATATATCACGTTTTAAACCATTAAAGTGTTTTATTTAAAAATATATATTACCATTGTCACGGGCTCAACGGTCACGTGGAAGCAACAAATGGCTAATTATCAACTTGTCGTGTGTACGATCCCTACCTGATCCAACATTTTACTAATCGATTTGTTATTAGACAAGTATGTGGGACTTTGTCTAGAAATCTATCTATCTATAATATATTTATATAACTGGGTGGTAGGGATATCTGAATTCCGTTGGGGACTCTAACCACCGTCCACAAATGATAAACTCGTTAAGTAAAATCGCGTTTCAGTTTCAATTAATTTTCGAATATCCAAAGCCATAATAGGTCGACGACGCATCAAGCTTTCATGTTATATGACTGGGGTAGTTCTACCATCAAGCTAACCCCACCTTGTCTGATCTTCTCTATCATAAAAATATATCTAAAAGAAACTCTTTACAAAACAAGCTAGTTATTTAATACGGTTCTTTAACAGGTGCACAATTTCGAACGTGGAAGACCATAATATTGTATTCTATATGAACGAGGAGCCTATAAGATCAATTTGCGAAGACGGCGTGTGTTCTTGGCAAGAGTTCGAATACAAATTGAAGCCATTTGTCAATACCAACTTCGATTTTTGTCAGTTTATATAGCTTCAATAATATAATAAAATTTTTGTATTAGTGTACTTTTATTGTAAGATAACAGAACCGAACGCTACAATTGTGCGTTTTTGTGGATTTAGTGTCACCTTTGTCATGAGTTTTATTTTAATCCTTATTAATCTATATCAATCGAGGAAGTAATGGAATAAATTTTATTATTTTTCATGTTTGTAAACGTATATAAAGAAAAACAAAATTTATTTATTATTATTTTAATCAGATCACGGTAAACCCGAAAGAGACGGGTGTTGATGTTTCTTAGTAGAGTTAGTAGCGATGTATGTCTCAAAAATTAATAATCAATGGGTCGTGGGTTAGATCCCCACCAGGCTCGATATTTTTCTAATCAGTCTATAATTTGTTTGAAACGTATTGGACTATGTTTGAATCTGGATATCAAATGCGTCATAAGAATATCGAAATTCCGTCCCAATCACAAACTACGTCGACAGATGTAAATTCCTTGAAATCAATCGCGTTTCGGTTTTTACGAATCTCCAAAGCCAAAATAGGTCAACAGTTCATCTTGTTGAGATATAGCTGAGGTATTACACCGTCCGTTAAGTGAATCCCACGCATGTCTTTGTTATCTTTCATAAAATATATATTTACACCTACCTAGTGTCCCAGTAACCATTTGGCTACAGACCACCTCTGTAGCCAAATGATAAAACGTGTTGCCTAGCATTGAGTTACGCGCGAGAGGTTCGGGTTCGAATCCCAGGGAAATAAAAAATGTTTCGGTCGGGCACAGAAGTCTGATCAACTTCTCGCCTGTTAAAGAACGGATCAGTTAAACGGACACAGAAATGTGTTCGCCCCATGCGCCACGAGGGGGAAACGGGATTTCATACACAGTTTCCCAGTAAACACAATATTGCATTGTATAATATAATCCGTCCGTAAGTATATTTGAATCTTCAATAATCTAGTTTTTCCCTTTGTTATCTAATGCTTATTCAAATTTCGAAGGTCACAAGCTTGTTACCGAACGATTTATTTGTTTATTGATGTTGTGGATATATAATAGCCAGCTCGTTATTTTCACTTTGTTATGTGATCCAATGACGTCACAAACGTACGCGTCTGACAAAACCCGTGAACAGCCGATACAAATAAAGGTGTATTTTTTATAAAAATACCTCGCGTGAAGCTCTAGTTAACTACGGTTCAGGTAACTGAAAACTGTTTGGAATTTAATTTTACGATTCAAACCATTTAAATGAAAACTCTTACTGCATTTTCCAGTAATTCTAACTTTTTAGATTATTCAGGCGAGAATTTGTTTTAAAAGTACCTATTGTGACAGGCTCGTGGTCTAATGGTAGCAATGTGTTGTTTCTAGTCTATGGTCATGGGTCATGGGGATCGACCCCACCGGATCCAACATGTTTCTAATAAATTCAAAATTTTTCCGAAACATTGGATCTGCATCTGGATATTGAATGGGTGGATAAACTATCAGAATTGATGGATCACGAACCACTGTCCAACACCGATAAAAAGACGTGAAGTGGATTTACGAATATCTAAAACCTTAAAAGGTCGACTGCACATCTTGTTAGGATGTTATATTAATGAGGTATTACGTACCAAGTTATCCCTACGCTGGTATATCCTGTATTGATGAAAAAAAAACAATAGGACATCGACTTGAAGCAGACAATATAGACAATAGAAAAGTTGGTAAGGTCTTATTCGTATTGAAAATATAAAATTGTCACCAAAGTACCACTAATGCTCGTTTACTTTGCGAATTGCCTTGAAACGTCCTCTCGGGAGCATTTGCAGCTCGAACCGCCAAATGCCAGTGCACAGTTGCATAAAAGCCACTTCACGTCATCAATTTTTCTCTTTGTCTCCGCCGGCTCCGATACTTTCCAGACCGCGGCACAGACGGATGACGTATCGTTTGTACGAACCTCCTGTTCCATTCATTTCCTGTTGTAACTTTGAGAAAAATGGAACTGTTGATATAATTTTGGGGTTTAAATTATATTGTCTTACTGTTTTATTATTTATACTGTTAAAAATCCTTCTCATCGGTTGTCTCAACGATTTTTTGTTTTTAACTTTTTCTGTACCTGCGACTTTGTCCGCATGAAATACTTCCTCCTCATCTTTATAAATTTTAGTTGTTACCCACGACGTTGTCTGCTTTATTCTTAAAAGATATACTGTTGTAGACATTTTTAGATCATTGAAAGAGGAATCATTATTTCGTATGTATTTTTTTGGGTTCTTGAACCGTTTTTCGCAGCGCTTCTACGAAAGCCCTTAAAGATTTTCCCCGTGTCTCCACATTTTCCATTGTTTCTTCGCTCCTATTAACACGGCGAGATCTTTTGTAGCCTAAAATCTTTCTCGAGAAACATAAAAACGATTTTTCAATTCGAACCAGTAGTTCTTGAGAGTAGCGCGTACAAACAGAGACAAACTCATAAGCTTTATAATATTATCCCACTAATAACAGACAAATAAAGTTTGCCACATTATAAATAATTCTATAAGGCTTTAGTGGGTACTTTGCAAAGCGACTTGGTTGTCGTAATTGTGGAATGTTTTTTTGACGGTTCGTCATCACGAGTGTATAACATCATCAAGAGTAGTCCCTAGACTTACTTCTCAGTCTTTCTTCAGTTCGTAACGGCAAGAATTTTCAACGGTGAAATATGGTCTTCATGTATAGCGTATGTAAAGCTTAATTTAGTACCAAGTGGTCCGCGTCTTCTCCCAATAACATTTAAGTGTGAAATAAATTGCGTAATCTGTTTTTGACACGATGTATATGCCACGAGTACCGTTTTAAAAACATATCCGATTTATGTTAGAATCATGAAATCGGCTCTGGCAACATTCCAGCGATATTAAAGTGCACTTCGAAATTGATTTCTTTGTAGGGTCAAAAAATAGCTGAAGATATAAATGATCGAGGATTAAAATAGCTTAAGTGTGTGCTTATATGAGAAAAACTTAATATCATTTAAATAAAACACTTTAACGGTTAAAAACGCGATATATTAGTTAAACTTATTTGGAAATGATTTTTAACTTCGACCCGACGTTTCGGATGATTTGCAGCAGCCGTGCTGCAGCGTGTCTCCCCGTGACCACTCGCGTAAGCTAGATCGCCAGCGCATCTTGTTCAGATGTCAGAAGTATTTCGCCGTCCATCAAGTGCATTCCATGCTTGGCTGTCCTCCGCTGTCGTAAAAAAAAAGTATAAATTACGTTAAGAAATTCTCGGCGTTGAGATCGGTAAACGTGAATTTCTTAAGTATCTTAAAATTATAGTATACCCACTATTCCGCCGACCGCATCTGTAGCTGAATGGGTATATGTGTTCCCTAGCATGAGAGGTCCTGGTTCGAACCCTAGGACTTAGATTGCTTTTGGCCGGGCTGGGCACAGATCAGTGAAACTATAAGATTTAAATTGTATACATGTTTTATACATTAAGTGTCTTTTAAATAAAATACTTTAACGGTTTAAAACGCGATATATTAGTAAAACTTATTTAAAAATGATTTTTTAACTTCGGCCCGACGTTTCGGATGCTTTGCAGCAGCGTTTTAAACCGTTAGAGTTTTTTATTTAAATGTGTACTACTCGCGTAAACTATAGACAGCATTTCATTAAGTGTCTTTCTTAGCAATTACACTGATTAACATCTTTCATAATAAAAACATTTAAACATATGTCAGTAGTTTTTGGTTTACCACATGTAAACTTTGAGTTAAAAAATGTTGTTCTGACTTCATAGACTCCTATTGTCCTGTAAACCTTTTCCTCTCACTCAATTTCTAAATCTGTCCCTCTTCCGCGTTTACGGTCCTACAATGCTAAGCGCCGGCGCGGAAGGACGCAAGAGTGTTCATAGGAAGCAGCAGCCATCGAAGTTGCTGTAATAAAACGATTCGGTGTATGGAAAGGGTTGATCCTGTAGTGTTTTTACGGCAGCTTCAAATCAAGAAATAATGATCCCCGGCCATGAGACAGGCGCCGTCAATCATAAACGTAAGTCCATTTCTATCGCGAGCCCTCAGGGCTGATATAAGCATGCTGCAAAACCGCATGGACGCTTGGGAAGTCCGGATAGCGCAGATGAAATCTGGGAGTGCTACAAAACTCTTCCACTAGCATTCATTCTTTTGTGGTGCTGTTATTTCGTTTGGCTGGCGGTCGGATTTTTCTTTGGTATTGTATGGTTACTTTACTTTATCATACAAGTTAATTTATATTATGTCTGTGCATCTTTTTATCGCGGTGCGGAGTGCTTTAGTGTTCATACGATTTTTTAATTTAAATTTATGCTTCTTTCTTATCTTTGAATATGGATAATGGCTTTAGAGAACCTTTCTATTTATTACCAGAACTGTGGAGGCTTAAAAAGTAAACTCATTGATTTAAAGCTTAGCATATCCTCTTGCACTTATGACGTTATCGTGCTAGTGGAGACTATTATAGAGAGCTATTTCTTAGGTACGACATATTTCGGCGTCTCATTTACCCGTAAGAAGGGAGGTGGGAGTGTTTTGATAATGGTGCGGAGTTAGATGCGTGCTGGCAGGTTAACTGAATTAGAAGCTTTGAATCTGGACGAAATATATATTTATCTACCGACCCACTCCAGCACTATACTTAATGCTTCCTACTTCCCCCCGCGACCCACTTCACAGCTTATAATACTTTCTTCCATAAATTACATAACATATTCATCAGTGGTCGCTACTCAAACTACATAATTATTGGCGATTTTAACTTAAGTTAATTTCAGGCGTGGAAGACCAATCAAGATTAAGTAATCTTGATTGGTCTTCCACGCCTGAAATTTTACTTCAATCCGCAAACACTGAGTCGTCAAAATTACTGCTATACACGATGTCTTTTATGAATTTAAAACAAACTAACGTTATCAGTCAAATTCATGAAAATAATAGTATATCTTTAATTGAGAAATTTCATTTTTTGTTGTCCTGCCTTTCGGGGTCTGCTTTATCTTTAGTAAAAGGTGTCCCAGTCACCACGGAGAATTGTAATATAGTTTTTCAGGCGTTAATTAAACATTTCCAGAATAAACGTATTCTAGCAATTGAATATTTAGATAAGATATACAATTGTTCTATATATCTATATTTTTTTTATGATACTAACATGATGAAGAATATTAATGCAATGTTCTTGTTGGCGAAACTTGTGAGCTTCAATAGTATACAATAATAAATACGTCTGCGGAAATATGTGTTTTGTCGTTATCAAGGCTAACACCAGCTTTAATCCACACCCAGTCAGAGTTTGGGATTGAAATAGTAACGACATTTCAAACTTAGAATTCATTTGTTTAGAACAATCCACTTTGAGATTCCTGTCTAAAAGGTACTTTCAACTTTATATTCGTATTTTAACAACAGAAATGTATCTAAAATGAAATTATCAGTCTTTATTAAATTTTAGTGTACTTAGGTAATAAAGAAATAGTGACACAATATAAATGGTACTATGTTTAATATAAGTGTTCAGAAATAAAATAACTATTATAAAATAATTTAAATAAAACACTTTAACGGTTTAAAACGCGATATTTTAGTTAAACTTATTAGGCCATGATTTTCAACTGCCCGACGTTTCAGATGCTTTGCAGCAGCCGAGGTCACGGGGTGAAAAGTCCCTTGGCCACTCGTGCAATTTGTTTTTTTGGTGGTGAAAGATTTGAAAAATAGGTCGTTTACATTCAGCTAAACAGCAAAAATGGTTCAGACTAAAATTGTAGATCATTCGATTCTCTACAAAAATATATCGTTTAATCTGTTCTTTAATCGTATTGCTATTTCCGTGATACAGCGGTTAAGCGAAAGGACTACTGACTCACTAAATAGGCAAATACAGATCAGGTAAAATATAACGAAAATAAAACACAGTATATATACGTTTATTATCCATAAACCTTTTACACGTGCTCCTTTAAAATAATTTCATTATAATGCACAACAAAGATATTAACATACATTTAAACATCTAATCGAATAATTTTAATGCTCGCGTACTTAAGAAATTATAATAAAATTCTTAAAGGGATTTAAAACATTTCTTAGACCATTATTCGATATTAGGTTACAATATGAAACTTTTATAAGGGCAATTTTTAACGATATTGAAGTAAAATCTGATATTTGTATGTTTATTCAACGGATTTATAACTTTAATTGTTTAAATAGAATACTACACTGTTCTTCGCTTTTAGCAAATAGAAGCAACGTTTAATACTGTTATAACATTATTTAAAAAACGTTATTAAAGAATTAAGGAATGATTTAAAAAAAAAAAAGTTATTAAGTAGAAAGGTTTTTTTAAGCCGCCCTACGATATGCCATTAAGTCCTTCAACCACAACTACCATACATTAACCATACGTTAAACACGCCCTAACTACTTTACAACCTTTCAACCCTACGTGAAGAACTAAAAAGGTGTTTAGATTTATATAAACTACTGGCATGCAACAAATTATTGACTCTAAGAGAGATTTATAAATAAATATATTTAATAATACATATAAGAACAATTTAAGAATTTAAATATAGAACGTCAATTAAATGTCAAGCCACAGAATGTCAAATGTCAAGCTTTTACTTTCGAACATAATTTCACCGCGAATAAAGTTTTATGAAAGTTCACATGAAACTTTGAATTGTCATATTAAAGAAACTTACGATTAAATTTGTTTGCAACCCTTATTTACTGAGTGCTGTACATCTAACATCGAATTGATTATAAAATCGAAATGCCAGTAGTTTATGTTGTAGAGGTTCGCTTTCAATCGTGAAGCCAACTACAGTCATAGATAGTATTTAAGTTAAAGTTAATTAAGGTATTTTAAAAAATGTCTTAATTGAATAAAAAATTGACATGCCATGGTCTGTTATGAAAAATGAATCGACGAGAATATTTGTATATTAGAAATATAACTACAAAGAAATAAAAATTCTGTAACACCGACTACGGGATAAAAATTAAGTTTAATTTTGATTACATTATTGTAACAATTAAACGCAAAGAATTTTGCCTATCGACACAGAAAATACGTGTTGCCTTAATTCTAATGAAATATAACTAATAATGTACCTACTTAGCAATAATACGTATTTACTAATAATTATGTGCTCAGATTTCAACAGAATTTGATATAAATTGTATTGTCTATGTCTCCTAGAACAGATAAGTCTAATTATAAATAGTACATGTGCTCGCAGTTAACACATACCCGGATTTTAGGGGAATTTCGTTAGCAGTTAAAATTTATACTGCAGTTAAATAAAGCCTAGAATTAATATTACTTAGCATACACAGATAACAAGGATACAAATAGATTTATATAGATGTAGTACTATACAGTTACTTTTTATACACCGAGAAACATATTTACAAACACCGCGAATGTATTTATGTGAAAATACATTGGAGCGGTTTCACATGAAAGATCACGTCACATCTATTTAATGCAACGATTCATAATTAACGCAAAAAACAAAGAAACTCACGTTTATATAGTCCACTTCGTTTAAATTACTTCTAAAAATATTTTGCGCCTGATTATCTCATTGAAATCTGTAAGACTTTGGTCCAGTGACTATGCATTCTTCGATTGCGCAAAATAACAACACTCGTACCTTATATTATCCTCGTTGTAAGCTTTCAGAAGCGTAACTTAACGTTAAAAGCGATTATAAACGGCGATTAAAACATTTAAATATATTTGTGATAATAATTTTATTACACGATAAACAACATATTAACACCTACAGAAGAATCAGATCCCTACTCCAGCTCCACGTAGAGGCTACCTAACATCTAAGCTAATACATAGTTCAATACTTAAGACTTCAACAAACATTAAAACAAGTCTTGCGACTCACTAACGCTTACATACCTATATAAGTGTAGTATGCTAACGTTAGAAAGTAACGTTTAATACTTTGTCTAATATAGGATGATATATTTGACATGTCAGTGCAGTCTTCTATAAATTCAGTGTACTATAAATATTTGTAGTGTATTCACGGGTAAATTATATTAGAAAATGGACGATTAACAAAGAATAATAGAAAATACAAAAATTGGATTGATGTTTTTTATCTATTGCACGCTAAAAAACATATTTCTTTTGTTTTTTTTTTTGGTAGCCTATATACAATATAAACATCAAGAAATTTTAAATCTTTACTCGAATACTGGTGTTATCATCTTATTAGACAAAGTATATTTTACACAAGATATACCTAAATAAATCTATTAAAGTATTTATACCGATCGGAAATAAAACGGTGAATTAGGAACTACGGAAATATAAAAAAATAATTGTTATAAAAATAACTCTTGAAGATACTGGACATGTGTAAGGAGTGAAGAAACAACTAAGTACTTTGAAATGCTGGCTCAATTCCAGTATTTTCAAGGCAGGACTTAAAGGTGCTCCACGGTGTGTTTTTAACAGTTGCAATTGGGGTTGCCGTTTCCTTGGGGTTGTTCTGTCAGTTTCTGGCCGCGCGCGCCGCCACCTAGCATGTTCTGTGGCTCCGAATCCAGACTCTCTGACATTTTATCGCAGATTATATCCACTAACCGCTCGAACACCGTCTGAAATTAAAAATAAGAGGTTTTATAGAAAACAAATAAAATGCCTTTCATAAAACATATAACTAAAAGAATTTCATCTAATAACAATGTAAGAAGTTACCTTAATAGAATGAGGTCTCCTAATTTAAACATTAGTTCTTCCAGGCTATTTTTTACAACAGGCCTGATAGTACATAGTTCTTAAGTATTTATTTATAAATATAATATAAATAAAACAATTGGTTTTGTAAATTTGTTATTATTAAAATGGGACTTTCGTTTACAGATCTCCAAAATAGTTTTAAAGTTAGTGATATCGCCGGGAATTAAAGTTGCTCTAAATATTATTGTCCTTTTTGAATTAAGTCCAGTACTTTCAAAGACATGCACTATTTTATAAGACGCCTTCAATAATAATAGTGAAGGAGAAAAAAGTTAAAGTTTTCTTTTTATTATAGAAGAGCTTCTTTTTATGAGATAAGCGTAGGATTCATTTGATGGTAGGTGAACTAAGGTAGCCATATATATAATGTTAATAAGATGCCCTGTACACCTAATTTAGCTTTAGATAATCGGAATCGGCTTTGGATATTTGGAAATCCACAGATTGAAACCGAAAAGTCATTCAAGTTAACGACTGTATCATCTGTAGACGGTGGTTCGTGATCGAGACATGCCCACAGAAGATAGCCATAAAACTTAAATATTTTTCTAATATTTGAACTTAGATTGTGTTTTACCAAAGCATATTCAAGTAGTGCACGGCATACCTTGACATTGACATTCTCTTTAGCACTGGTCTCGAAGAACTCCACGCCCAGCTGATCAGCCAGCTGTTTACCACGTTCCTGGCTGATGACGCGCTCTTCTTCCATATCGCATTTGTTGCCAACTAGGATCACCTGGGCGTTGTCCCACGAATACGTCTTGATTTGTGTCACCCTGAAAACAATGTTTATGTCCTGTCTATAGTTAACGTGAGTAGTACACATTTAAATACACAGCAAGGCTGCAGCCGTGGTCACGTGGCTGCTGCAAAGCATCCGAAACGTTGGGCCGAAGTTGAAAATCATCTCCAAATAAGTTTAACTAATATATCGCGTTTTAAACCGTTAAAGTGTTTTATTTAAACAATATTTATGATTCATTTGACGGACACGTCGGTGGTTTGAGCCCCACGGGGTCCAATATTCTTGTGGTCAATTTATAACTTTTCTGAAAGACGTGAACATCAGACCTGAACATTTGAATATTAAATGGGTGGTAGGAATATCGAAAATTCCTTTCAGGTCACGAACCATGAAAACGCCGTGAAGCTTTATCACACTAATAACGGTTTAAAACGCGAATCCCGTTAATTGATTTACTTTTAGCTACGTTGTTTACGATTCGAATGTTTCTACAGTAGCCGTGACTGACTGTTCTGTTTTGTTTAATATGTGCCCTTCAAATATTCAATACGTTAGAATATATTCTCTTACCAGTCTTGAACACTGTTGAAGCTCTCTTCATTTGTAATATCGTACATTAGTATGAAGCCCATTGCCCCGCGGTAGTACGCCGTCGTGATTGTGCGATAGCGCTCTTGACCCGCGGTGTCCTAAAAACAAAAATTCAAGAGATCTCTCATATTTTCTTCATCTCTGGGAAACGCACTAACATAATGTTAAATAACGGATGTTGATAATAAAATAATATAATATAAAGACTGCGAGGAATTTAAAATTTTGTAATCTTTTGTTATTGTTTTATGACGTCACTAACTGTAATTTAGCGTAAATCAGTCAATAGTAAATTGATGTTTTTTCTTATTAGTGATTTATTGTTTTATTTCTTTGAAATAACTTAAGCGGTAAGACTTTTGTACCTTTGCCTAAAAAAAATCGTTGATGCGCGCGCACCGCTTATAACTGCTTTAACAATTCATTAAAGATTTCGTTTACCTAAGTTAGAGTTTTATTAATTTCCTTGTAAATATGTTATAAAACGTCGTATGACATACGTGCGCTTTGAAAATTGCGGCCTCTGCTTTCATATAGCCCTCGCCGATGGCTCGGGCTAGTAATATCGCCTCGGCTGTAATTTTCAACTCACCGCACTTATATCATAATGTACTATTACGACGTAAAAGTAGCTCTATTGTCTACAATTTCCGTTACGACGCTCAAATAAATATAAATAAGTGAAATATGTCTTGTAAAATGTATAGAAGTGATTTAATGATAGTCTGAGAGTTTTTAACAAAAGCTTCATTTAAAAATATCAAAGTGTATTGTTATATGTATAAAACAATGTTAACCGAAAATTCCTGTCAAGTCTTCCAATAAATGTAGAGACAACCTCAACGATGTTATCTCGTTTGAATGAATTATGTCAAGCTTGTTACTCATCGATGTTGCGAGCTAATTAGTTTACACCGACAAAACACGATATTTTTAAACGTAAAAATCTCAGTAATTAAATTTATTCGTGTATAAAAATTTAGGATCGTTTTTTAGTATGAGAATAACAAAATTATTACATAGAAACTGTACTTAAACAGAGCAATAATTTCGAGATTTTAATATTTTTATTACAATTAATTAATAATTTTTTTTTTTTTTTTATTAAGTATAATAAACACCGACACGATATTTCTCTTCAATTTATAACGTCTCGTCTATGTTAAGCTTGTCGTAACTGTCATTAGTACGGGACGTCAACTGACAGCTAAACGAAGTTTGAAGTTAGCGCGCTGGAACAGAGTCAAGCTGACTTCCCTACGATGTTGAAAAATCAGATGTTAAACATAACTGTGGCATTTCCGAACGAAAAAATCGAGCGGAGAACAAGTCTGTAAATTATCCTACACTAGCTATGCCAGCGACTTCGTCCGCGAGAATCGTTATTTTGGGCATCCAAATTAGTTTTTGCAAACCCCGTCATCTTTATAAACTTAAGTTCTTAGCCACGTCGTCGATTGCGTCCCTTCCGGTCGTTCTTGCAAGTTATTCTTAAAAGATAGACATATAGCGTCGCGGACTTTTTTTAGATCATATAAAGAGAAATCATTCTTTAGTAATTTTTTTATAATTCTCGAATCGTTTTCGCAGCGTACGCATCTGAAACCAACAGAGATGAAAAATTTCCCCCGTATTGTTCAAATTTCACGTTGTATCTTGCCTGTCTCATTAAATACTTTAACCAACACAAGTAGAATTTTTCAATTCGAACCCGTAATTCCTGAGATTAGCGCGTTCAAACAAACAAACAAACTCTTCAGCTTTATACATTAGTAATAGATTTCGTTATAGAGTTTATGGTTTGAAATATAACCTTTATATTTGAAGAACTTTTTTCAGAATACAATTGTCTGTACGTCGTCACGAAATAGTAAAGACTCCATCCATATACAATAGGAATTTTTGCTACCACAAGTGGTTTGTAAGAAATAAAAGTTATTATGCAGTTGTATGATTCTTTCACAAAGGCTCACTTTTGTTTTAAACTACTGTAAAAAAATGATTTGAAAGTTGATTGAGGCGAAAAAACGATAACACGATTAAGTCACTTTCAAATTTTTTTAATGTTTCATAGACTTTTAACGTTTGAATCTATTAGATAACTTATTTACAATTTATTATGGCCCGACATTTGTTTTACTGCAACCGGTCTTGGAGGGACTTAAAATGGAGGGTTTTCTTAATGACTAAGTCAAATCTGCTATGCTAGCGCCATCTGTTTTCTCGTATGTGGTGTTTGGAGGAACTAGTCTTCTCTTTTACCGGTATGCAGTTTGACACCTTCAAAAGCATTTTAATCAAATGTGTAATACTTACGTAAACTACAGACAAAGCATAGTTTATTTAAAAAGAAGAATTTCCATACCCATATCTGAAGTTTAACACGTTTGTCGTGGCGGAAGACGGTTTTAACCTTGAAGTCGATGCCCACAGTAGACACGAACGCTGAAGTAAATGAGTCGTCCGCGTAGCGAAACAGAAAACTGGAAAACAAAGCAAATTGTTTGCATATTGCAACACAAGAGCCACCCAATTCTTTTTTCTAATTTCGTCATATAGTGATGACCTTATTATTATAATGGCAAACGCTTATACATTATTTACCTGGTTTAAAACGCGAAATATAATAGTTGACGTTTATTACAACCTGACGTTGAACAACCCGACGACAAATGTGTAGCAGGCATATATACTTAACATTATATTTCAATTCAAGGTGATATTATAGGAGTCTGTAGCCTGATATTAGTTGGGTAGTATGATTATTGAAATTCCGTTCGGGTCACAAACCACAAATGGTAAAGCAGTGAAGTGTAAATTTACATTTCGTTTTTGTGTATTCCCAGTGTCCCAGCAAAAATAGGTCGAGATGATTCATTAGATGATTTCAAGCTAAGCCTGAGGCTTCCACTTTAAATCTAGTTACCTCCATGATATCTACCCCACAGACATAAATAAATAAGCGAATATATCTCGTTATTTAAATATATATTTTTAGAATGACAAAAATGTTCAACAAGGTCTGTACCGTCATCCAGAGCGTTCCATGCTTCTGATCTAACCCGTGTCGTAAAAAAAATAATTTAAAAAGTGTAATATTGAAGTTACCCTTAGATACTCTCTGTTCTACTACTAGAGTCAGATACAAACAGTCCTTATTTGTTATATTCTTAGTAATCACTTGTAAGAAAAGTAACTAAGTTTATTCAAAATTGCTTTCTCGTGCTTCGCTATAACGCCTTAGTCTCGTTATGACACAATAGATGGCAATTTGGCAAGCTTAGCCACTGACCTAGTCTTTCCGACGGAACTGTTTCCAATAATCAACAGCTTGAACATGTAGTCGAAGTTTTGGTCTCCAGCATCCTTCTGCCATTTAGGGTCACCTCCTCCAGCCATCTGTGTGTGATGTGACAATTGATAATTTAATAAATTTTCAAACAATTACTATAGACTAACATTTTAATACATATATAAAAACTTCAATTGAATCGTGATATTTTACATAACACGATTCAATTGACTTTAAAGTAACTAACTAACTAAAACTAGCTGATTCAGCGACTTCGTCCGCGTAGAATAGTTATTTTGGATATACAAATTTGTTTTTGCAAACCTTCTTCTTTATTTTTATGAATTTAAGCAGGTTACCTATGACGTCGGTCGCGTCCCGTCGTTCTTGCAAGTTAATCTTAAAAGATAGACATATGTCCGGTCAGTATGTCAGACATATGTCAGTGTCCCGGACATTTTTAGATACTTTAACGAGGAATAATTCTCTTATAAATATTTTTTGGGTATCTTAAACCACCCTTTATACAGTACCTCCTAATTTCTTCTGCCCTTAAACAGATTTGAAGTAACTTAAACAACATTTTGAAATAGGTGTTATGTTTATCCGAAAAGCCATTATCACCAAGCACAACCACCGCTGTGTTTGTTCTAATATCGAGTGAATTAACGTGAAAATTTCAAGAGCTCCTAAATTAAACCTTACTCTCCTAGAAATAAGGTTCACCAAGTACCATATCCTTTATGTTAACAATCCTTATCGAATATACTATGTTTGAAAGGGAATTTAAAAGGATATATAATAAAGAGCATTTTAGAACGCACATATGAATCTAGAATAAGTAGAGATAACGTAATGTTTTGTCGTATCCTATGTTTTGCTTCGACAGTAGATTGTACTGTGTATTTTCAATATTCATTTATAAGTTTTTGAAAATAGAACACTATAGATAGTATTAAAATATTTCATCCAAGAATAACTTTTATGTCTTTTTTTTACGTAAAACAAAGTAAGACAACCTTTACAATTGTTTTTTTATTTCAACATTACTAACGTCGGGGTAAATGCAACATTTTATTTCAGTATTTTACAAGATGAAGATGAATTCAAATTCAAAAGGGTTATGCGCGAAGTACACTTACAAAGCGAAGTAACGAATCTAAAGTTAGGAGACGAGCCACGTCTACTTACAACGTTTTTGCACCAAGTAATATATTTTATTCTTTGCGCAAATGTTATCTGATTTTGACCTATTTCCTATACATAACCTTATCGTCCTTTTGGATGGAAATTATGATTTTGTAACAGATGTTGGTTAAGTGCGCCTGTGCGATTAGAATAAGCAATACATATAAGAGAGCGTAGGCGGTAGGATAACAATTTCCACCTTTTCCCCTTTAAATAGTCTAAAAATAACTAATATTTAAGAAAATTCAATAATTTTTAAAACACTGATTGACGTTATAACATTATATCATAAATTAACTGTTTGTAGACATAAGATAAAATAAATACTAACCTTTTTCGGATGCCTCCCAGACAATCAATGAAAAAGCGGTATATATCTTTACTGACGTCACAGTATCTAAAGTGTTTGAATGTGTACTCTATACATTCGTATATATCTGGTATCGATTTTTTCCACTAAGTCACAGAATCTAAGCCGTAATATCCTTCGAAAACAGAACGGACACAACACTAAACTGTGCCAATGAAAGACGAAATCGATAAGTTACGAATTTTATTTCGTAACTTAAATAACTTCTATCGTAGAACTGTACTTGAGTATCACATTGGGACAAGCTTGGAATCGAATTGTACTTAATTTAATGTGTAATTCTCACTTAAAATAAAAAACGCGAACAGCTGTTACCTACGTCTTGCTTAGTCCTAACTGCTATGGCAGTGGGATGGTTATTCAAGATGGCGGTAGTTGCGCGCGCAACTCGTTCCTAATACTAGCTTGTCAAATTTTCATGATAGTAATTTTATCATGGTGCCAGCTATGTCAAAGCATTCTTCTTATCTAATATATAAATTATATATCTAAATTAAATATAACTTATTAAATTATTATTTAATCGTAAAATGTTTCAACTTTTGGTACGAGCTAATTAAAGATCAATAATTAATGTATATGATTAATAAAAAAATACAACTTTCAATACATTTATAAATTAAAGCGGTACGTTCGTAAACTGTAATAAATTATAATGATTTTGATACTGTGTAACAGTATCGATTTATCGTACATAAAGATTTGACCTTACCTTGCCCTATTTTTTAACGATCCCTCTCCATTACAAGTAACCAGAGAATAAGACGAGTGTTTGATAACCCATGCGCGTAGATCCTGATGGTTCCGAATCACTTTGAGTTAACCAAAGGGTACAAACAAAATTATAATGTGGACAATAATTACAAATTAGTTAATTCACAATGTAATATTTTGTTGTAACAATTCATTTAACCATCAAGTTAAAACCTGAAGAGGGAGGTTTTGTCTTAAGATATTTTATTTTTATTAAAATTTGTTATATTTAATTTAATAGACAGTACAATTTAAAAAATATATAATTATTTGTGAAAGAGCCATCTTTCAAACCAATGTATACTAAAGTTGACTATAACAAGATAGCAGCAATGGCGTGTAAGATATTAGGATTATTTTTGCATCTCCATAACAGATGTCGCTATCAGGTTTATAAGGTTAAAAACTGCACATTAGTTTTGTATATTGGAATATTGTATTCATTAATCCTGTATAAAAAACAGACGATTTAGATTTTAATGTTAATAAAAGAATTATATAATACCTTGTGTTACTTGATCCCGGCGTGTGGCATTTCTATATTAATTGCCTATGACGCAAATCTATAAGTTGCTATATTATTATATCCACCTTAAAGGACTGAAAAATTATAGAAACAAAATAGAAATATAGAACTTAAATTGGACCCATCGTTAACAAGAAGGCTTACTTATGTAATATATTTCTAAAATGCTCCAGAATAATACAGATTATTTTTTAGAAGCACGCGTTAGTGGTGTTCTATCTGCTAATATATCAATTTGGGTAATAACTAGAGCTCTGATAGGAGAAGCCATACGAAATAGTAGTATAAATCGAAACGAGGATAAAGGCAGCTGCCGAACGATATTAACAAAGTTATGATGACATGAACATTTATAAATAGATTAACTTATTATTAGATCCGAGTTGTTGGGACATTTTAATAAAACTTCTGTATGACGTATTGAAGTCATAATGAATAAAGTTTTGATGGCTTGTCGTATTGTGCAAGCGGATTAAAAATAAACGAACTGCTAAAATCGACATTGCGACTCTGATGCATATATGGAATACGTACACATTGTCTCCCCGTGACCACGGCTGCTGCAAAGCATCCGAAACGTCGGGCCGAAGTTAAAAATCATTTTCAAATAAGTTTAACTAATATATCGCGTTTTAAACCGTTAAAGTGTTTTATTTAGATGTGTACTACTCGCGTAAACTATAGACAGTATTTAGCTATATAGGTCTCAATTAAATGCGCTAACAACCTACTTTGATTTTGGATTTTCGGAAATGCATAGACTGAAACTAAAACGCGATAAAAGTTCACGGAATTTTTATTTGTATAATGTGAATGGTAGTGGTTGTGACCCGGACGGAATTTCGTGATTCCTACCACCCATTCAATATCCAGATTTTCTAGATGAAGTCCAACATATTCCGGAAAAGTAAAATTTTATTTTAAACTTAAATATGGAATTTTTATTTGTTGAAACAGTAAATGTGGTACACGGTAATAAAACTAGATATACAAAAAAGCCTGTATATTAATTTTATATTACATATTCTTCCCAACAACGAACGATATTTTACGGAAATTATTAGTAACAGAGGTTATCTGTGTTTATTTTGAAGAGATAAAATAAGTTATTATACCTCTGTCAAGAACCACAGACGTATTTCAGCTAGGGTCGAAGAATATTTAGTCTGTGGTGAACGAATTACGTTTGATCGTAACGTTCGGATAGCCTTTGGATTACTTAAATAAATTTATTCATTAGCTTATTTTTTGGATAATTAATATTTAGATGTTTTTCGTTTTTATATGAACAATTGGAATACAAAACGATTTAAAAGAATGTAGGGAAACATTCAACACACAACTAAATTAATTTTATTTGATGGAAGTAATCAAGCGGTGGCATATACGGTTGTATAAACATTTAAAAACAAATTATACCGCTTAAATTAAGTAAAAAATTAGTTTACTAATACATTATACGTTTTTAAGGGTGAAAAGTGCTTTATATTTGAAAAGCTTACCTCTAAGATGACCGCTAAGATGACCTCATTGGGAGAGATAGCAATGTCCCCTGTATTCAAACAAGGGTCGATTTCTACTGGGCCCAAATACATTGTATATTTTTTCCAAAATATTAATTAGCCTGCCTAAAAATCCAAATAATTAAATCAGCGATTGGTTTATGGTAAATATAGTCCGGTCATGAACCACAGAAACCAAAGTCGTGAAGTCAAAATCTAAAAACAATTCTTCAATCTGTACGTTTTTTATATTATTGAAGACTAAAAAGGGCGACAGCACATTTTAATTAGATATTAAAAGTCTGAGGTGCTCTACTCTTCCTATTTCATGAAAAATATTTCAGCTGAAACTGCCTAAAACACGTGAAGTTTATCATGAAATGTTCGTCGACAACCTTACTCAGAGACCCAAGAAACATGTTAATATTCATATGTGGAGTGACTTTGATACCTTTGGTCTCATTTAAAACCTTTTTGTCTGAGTTGAGAGTTTGAAATACATTCGTTTTGTTAACATACAGCTGAAACGTGAGCGATATTTAATGTAACTATATTAATAGTAAAAGTTTTCCCAGAAAATGAAACGAAAGGGTACAAATGGGAATTTTCCTATTGAAATATTTTCCCTGTTCTGTTATTTCTGAATATGTCATTAAATATTTTTCTGTTTCAATTACAAACTATCCCAATCCTGGGGTCACGTCTTAGACTGCAGTAGTGGGGTATACTCATCACGCTTGAAGAGCTCAAAAATAGATCAAAGCTGGCACACTGCAATTTTAAATCGACGTTTCCGCGTCGTGTTGTGAACGGCGATCTTGAATGTTAAAATGTCGCGTGGACCAGAATAGATTTCGTGGTCTAGGAAATTGTACGTCACGCAGCGTCACATGTTGAGATCTTGTCGTCCGTACTCACAAACAGATGACTCGCCTACCCACTTATTCTGTTACAAACTTGAATAATTACATCGTTTAAAAATTGAAAATAAATTGAAAAAATTTTCGATTCGAGCAGGACTTGAACCGGCATCGTCAGCTTTCCGTGCTGTTGCTCAACCAAGACAACAAGACTCGGTAGCTCAATTGGTAGAGCAACACCACGGAAAGCTGACGATGCCGGTTCGAAGTCTCGGAGTCGAAAATTTTTTTAAATTTATTTTCGATTTTTATTTTATATAGCGCATTCAAGTGCAATAACATGTGAAAAATACTAATGTTTTCAAATAATTACATCGTTATATAGTAGTTAAAACTCGACTCTAATCAATTGAGCTATCGTGTCTTGTTTATATAGAAGTTTAAAAATCTTAACATGCTTCAAAAAAATTAGGAAAATATTAATGGTTAGTTTCCTTTGGGAAATGGGACGGCCAAAGAATTTGTTCTTTGGCCGTCATAATTGTGAAATGGAGTATCAGAAAAGCTTTAAATAAATTCTTTGTATATATTAAGTTAGTTCTTGTTGCATTCCTTGTGAATTTTATAAAAACATTTGTTCTCACTTTTTGTAGTCGAGAGAAATAAAGACATTAAATTAGATTTCCTAGATTTTTCTACAGGCTCTAAAATTAGATAAGCATTTTTACAGAAAATAATTTTTTTAGGTACTCTAGCAAATACGTAGTTATAGGCTCTAACTAGCTACGGCGTAGCGGCTTATAGCTTGAAATTTCAGCACGTTCGAGCTCTTATTTACGACGTAATATATCTGACAGCTATTAATTTTATATACTTTCTTAAAGATAAGAATAACATACGAAAAAAAGACAACCTGCCCCGTCTTCTTAACCGATGAAGGAGAATCCTTGCTTATCTGGTAGGCAAGTACGAGTACAACACTAGACGTAACAGCAGTGATGATTTTACGGACAGGTGTTACTTTTCTAAATTTTTCTGAAGATTTTGGACTTCGTCTGGAAGTCGAGATATTAAATGGTGGTAGGCAAATCCGTCCGAAACCACGAACGCAGATGAAAAAGTCGTCAAGTTAAATCGCATTTCGGTTTCAGACTGTGGAATTCCGAACGTCCAAAGCCAAAAAGAGGACGACAGCGAATCTTGTATATATATTATATTAATGGCTGGTGAATATCACCTACCACCCCATGCTAGTCTATTCTCCTAATATCATAAAAAAATAACGAAGCTTTTATCCCCTATATTTTCTTAATCGCATTCTTCATTACTGAAGGTCGTGCTTATCATGATGTCGACCGGCTGCCTCTTCTTCTTCTCTCTCTCTCATCTTCGGACAGTCGAAGAGCGGGCGATATACTAAGACCCGTCAATTTTGCTACTTGTTCAGTCCATTGTAGTTGATAGTTGTTGACAGTAGTTGGTCGACCCCGTGGTCTTTAGCCCTCGACAACCAACTTGTCATAATGTCGTTAATCTCTCATAAACATATACAAATTATAGTTTAGGTGATTTTCTTATTTGTATCAAGTAGAATCATCAAATTATTTGCACTATGAACGAAGGTACGCTGAATTGACAATCGAAACTAGCGCCATCTATCACTGCATGCCATTCTAACGCTTCCAGAATCCGACCCGTATCACCGAAGATTAATGTTTGATGTTCACAATTAAACGTATAGCTTTTGTGATCTAAAAACGATTTTGCAAACTCTTAATAACAATACAACAATTTATGTTAGTGAAATGACATTTTTTGTGACCTTAATAAACACATTACATTTTGGAATCTTTGCATTACTTTTTTTAATTGGTTTTGTATACCTCTCATTCTCATCAATGAAGTGTAGACGCGGGCAGAACACATACAAATAAAACATTTTTAACTGCTTAAAACGCGAAATATAGGAGTTTACTGATTTACAATTTATTTTAACTACATCGTGGTAACTACGATATTACTCAAACTTATTTGATAATTATTTTTAACTACGGCCGAATGTTTCGAATGCTTTGCAGCAACCGTGGCCACGGGGAGACTAAAGATTGAGGGTGTCTCTGACGTCAAAGTAAAAACTGCTACGCTAGCGCTATCTGGTCCCTCAAAATCGCCAAATACCCGCCATATTTAGTCTCCCAAGTGACCACGCTTGCTGTAAAGCATCTGAAACGTCGGGCCGTAGTTAATAATAATTTTCAAATAAGTTTAACTAATATCTATCACGTCTTAAACCGTCAAAGTGTTTTATTTAGATAAGTGACTTGTAACTTCAAATTTTTTGCCGTTAATATCTCATCAAACATTTATGCTCTCGTAAGGATAATGGTTTAAAAAGTGTATAAACTATGATAACTTCCAATTGCAGTCCCTATGTGAACTTTTTCTTAAAATTTCCACAGACAAGCAATAAAATAGATCATCTCAAAGCTGTAACAGACTGAAGTAGCATAGTTAAATCCTGCCGCAAAAACCATAATTACGGTTCGCTGGCTAACGAACTTCGTAGTTCAATTAGAACACAGCGCATTGCCGATTTTTTGCTCTCGAATTACGACTGTATCGTATTTCATTATTCGTGCCAAACGCGATAAGTCTATTTGCTTATTAAAGAATAATATTTACACCTTAAAGCGAGATAGCTTTGAAACTTGGGTATTTGATTTTTTTAAATATTAGTTAAGATATTACTAGAATTTATCACCAATGTAGGATTTTAATAGATATATTAACACCACAATATGTTGGCAATTTGCAAACTCAATGAAATTCTATAACATTTTAAACCGCGAATTATTTACATTATGTTTTGGTCGTCCTATAGACCGACGTTTCCATGGATGCAATGTCGAGTCGGAAATAAATAATAATCAACTCACAAACTTCACGTTTTTTTCAGTTCAGCTTATTTTGTTATAGAGGAGGACGATAGGTTGTCGGCTTATTTTGGCTTTGGATATACGGAAATCCATCGGATCGGATCGCTTTTAAACATGACGGCTTTTTCATTTCTGGTTCGTGACCCAGACGGAGTTTCAATATTCTTACCAATAACTTCGTCCAGATTTACAGACGAAGTCCTACATGTTTCTGAAAAAAAACATATATTGGTCACGCTGGGGATCAAACCTACGACCCTTTAATTATAAACCATACATTTATTCAAACCATCTTGCGCTTATCATTATAGTGCAGCCTTAAATCTTCTTTTTAATAAGCCCGAAAGCGTAGTTGTCAGGTAACGGTTTGATCGCGAGCGAATCAATTTATGGCCCACGTAATAAAGAGGCTAAGCTCAACTCTTTATTATCTTGCTTCTAAATGAGATCGTTATAAAAATGTAATGATCGTGTGCGTCCTTGTTAACACGTACTTCCGCCGTTTTATCGTAAAAGTCACAACAATGTGTTGATAATTTCTCAGTTCATTCACGAACCATAACTTCATTCATATGATTGTATATGAATGGAGTTAGCGAAATATGTCGTGAATCACAATACGCTTTTGATCGTGAGTTTGAATCCTGCTTATGTCATTATATTATCTCTATTAAAAAGAATAAAAACAGTACGCTATTAGAGTTTGTGTCATTTCGTCAAGTCAGTCTAAAACATTTTTTACATTCTGTAAGCTCTTAAGTATATGAAGATAATAATTATTTTAATGTCGTAAATCTCATTATAAATGTCTCCTATTTATATCAATTTCAGCATTAAAATATGTTTCGTTAAAAAATATTTACATTTTAAAAATATCTCTTCATTATTATTAGATGGAGAGGATAAACAAGCAGAATTGTTAAATAATACAAGTTGTATAGTCTTTCGTTTGCAAAAATAGTATTTATTTCAATAATGTTAACGTTTTAAAATGCGAGATGTATTAGTTACCTTACTTACAATTTACTTTCACTAAGGCCTAACATCAAACACACGTAGAGTAGCAGTTTTGCCTATGACGTTAGGGACACTCTTCGTCTTCAGTTCCCCATGATCACGGTTGTTGCAAAATAACCGAACGTCGGGCCGTAATTATAATTAATTTGAAAATCATTAACTCATACATTTCGCGTTTAAAATGTTAAATTGTATCATATCTATACTCTTATTTAAGTTTGCTCTCATGTAAGTAAATAAGTTTGTTAAAACTTATTTATAAGTTTTATTCGATTTCTTT